GGAGTTCATATATGGAATAATGGTAATTAAAATAAAAATTAAATGTAAAAATATATATAAATATATATATATATATATAAAAAAATATATATATATATATATATATATATATTATTTATTTATCTATATAAATATATTTATTTATATATATATCTATATTTACATATACACTATTTTGTATAGCATATAATTATATTTATCCAAATATATATTTAAAGGTGATATATATGAAGGATAATTTAAATTTTATCTTAAGCATGGATAAGGTATAGAAAAATTTTCAAATGGTGATATTTATAAAGGAAATTATGTTAATGGAAAGCCTGAAGGATATGGTGAATATTATTGGGCTAATTAGTCTTTTTATAAAGGATAATTTAAGTACATGACATATAATAAATATATAATTTTCTATATTAATTAGAAATGGTTTAAGAAATGGGTATGGAGTTTGGAAAAGAGGATTATAAAATTCAGATTATTATGAAGGCGGATATATAAACGATAAAAAAAGTGGATATGGAATTTTTAAGTGGGCATCGGGAAATATATACAAAGGTAATTATTTTAATGATTTAAGAAATGGATATGGAGAAATGTATTGGAATGATGGCTCTTATTTTAAAGGAATATGGGAAGTATTTTAAATATATATAAAATCTACTTTTTTATGGATTTCTAATAAAGACTGATGTTCAAAATGGATAAGGTTAAATGTATATTCCTGGATAATCTCCGAAAGAAGGATTATTTAAAGATAATTTATTTATTGAAAATTAATTAATAATAAAATAAAAATTATAATAAATATAATAAGAAAATAATAAGTAATTTTTTATTTTTTTTTTATTTATTTTTAAATTAATTTATAAATAATTTTAGTTTAAATAAATCTTAAGAATATTCACCAAAAATAAATAGCTTTTAATTGATAGATCAAAATAAAAGAAATTTGTTAAAATATAATAATAACCCTTAAAGCGTTTATAAATAATAATATAATAAAAATTGTTAATATAATGAAAATTTATAAAAAATAAACTTCTCTTTAAGAAAAAGTAGATTAGGAGAAAGAAGTATTGGCAAAAATTATTAAAAAAAAAAGATTTTTCAATGTAATCTAAAACATATAAATTAAGCTTAAATAAAACATTTCATATTTATTAGAAATAAAATCCGAAATAATGTAATATTTTATAGTTTTAATTATTATATTATTATTTTTTAATTATATATATATATATTTATTGATATTTTTAATATTAAAATATATTATTAGGTAAAACTATGTTCAGAAATATTGTTTATTGAGATATATAAAATAAAAATTATTAAGAAATATAAAAAAAATATAGAATATAATTTTAGATATTATTATTAAAATTTTATATTTATTAAAAAAAAAACTCATAAAATTTTACAATAAAAGGAATAATAATAAATTTGATTTAATTGTATATAAAAAAAAGATTTATAATAATTAACTTATTTAATTATAATATTTTTTTTAATTATTAAATAATAAAAATTATATAAAATATTTATTATATTATATTTTAATTTACATTTAAATATTTCTATATTTTTGTATTTAATATAAATTTACATTTATTTTTAGTTTTTATAAAAAAACAAATACTTTTATTATGTTTTATATATAAGTAAAAAAGTAGAATATAAACAAACATTATTGAAAAAAAAAATGTCCTTATATTTTAATATAATTAATGTAAAACCAAATATTTTTTTTTATATATATATATTCAATAATTATTTATATTCTAAAGTTAAATTTCATTTTTAGGAACTTTATTATTACTATCATTTTACCTTTATTCTTTTTATAAATAAATAATCTAATTTTCATTTGCAATTGCAGGTTGGCTTATAATTTATTGATTATTAGGTACAGATTAGAAACCATAATTTTAAAGAGCAGGCATTTTTTTTACCAATTTTTCCATATCTTCATAAATAATATGAGGCATATGGAACATTTCTCCATCTTCATAAAATTTAGTAGGAATATTTCCAAATAATTTTAAAAAAATACCTGCGATAATTCCAGAACCAATAGCGATACTTAAAGTAATAAACAGATATATAACTTAAATATGTCCTTATTTTTATTAATTCCAGTCACTTTCACCTGCTTTTATATAAACCATTTACAATTAAGCAATTGAATCATTTTAGTTTTAAGATGTGCCAGCAGCAATACAACCCCATATAGCGCCTAAAAGTCCAGGAATTCCATGCAAATTCAAAACACCACATGAATCATGTAATTATAATTTATTTTCAATAATAAACATAAATCTAGAAAAACCTAGAGTAGATACACATCCTGCAAAAATGCCAATTAAAATAGCATAAATAGGTAAAATATGCATATCAGCACAAGTACCCTATATAAAAAAGAAAAATATAATTATATATATATTTATATTTATATTTATATTTATATTTATATTTATATTTATATTTATATTATTTTACCATTGCAACACCACCAGCTAAAGAAGCATTTTATATATCAATAACATTAATTTTAAATTCTCCACTCCTAAACATAATAGAGCAAGTAAAAGCTGCAAATACGCTACCACTTAAAGACAATATAGTATTAGTAAAAGCTCTATTCATAGCTTCAGAGTTTTCATATTATAATGCTCCATTAAATGAAGGCCAATACATCCATAGAAAAACAGAACCCAAAAGAGAAGTTAAGTCTGAAATATAATTACTTTCTGCTCTTTTATGTCCCTTACATTTAGAAACTGATGTAAATGCAGAAACTGTCAATCCAAAGAAAGCTCCAAACATGTGAATTACCATTGAACCTCCAATATCAGCTATTCCCATTTTAAACCTATTTTTTCATTTAATGTAAAACCTATTATTTATATAAAAGTCATTAAAAGTAATTAGAAATGCGAAATTGTTCCTATTACAGCTCCGTAGGCTATTAATACTGAACCAGCGCAAAAAGATGATAAAATAAATATTTTTGGATTCATATGTATTTCAAATGCATAATTAAGGTCCCATATACAATTCCAGAACATTTCCCATATAGGGTACAATTAGAAAGCCATTCCTCCTATCATTAATGTAAAAGCGACTGCTCCGAAAGAAAATCGACTCGTATAACTTCGTATAATCCAAAACCAACAAATATCATAACATTTACGTCTTACCATAGATTATATCGGAACATTTCATTTTTTTTGTGTCATATTTGCCTGATATTGCCCAGAATATTATACAGAAAATTTCTATTAAGAAAAATAATACTAAGAATTTAATTTATTCTTTTTTCCTTAAGGCTATACTTTAGGGACTTTTTGTTGATTGTCTTTAAATCTAATTTTCCATTTTTTATTTTTTATTAAAAAAATAAAATTGTGTATTTTTTTATTTTTAAAATATTTGTAATATGTAATAATTATTTTTTTATAAAATTGTATTTTAGTTTTGTTGATATGTTTTAAATATATAAAAAAAAAACATTATTTTAAAATAATATTTTAATTTTATTTTAAAAATATATTATTATTATTAATTTTAGTTTAATTTTGATAAATATGACTTTAATAAATTTTAAATAAAAAATTTAAAGTCCAAAATATTTTTTTTTTTAAATAATATTAATATAAGTAAAAATAGTATAAATAAGTAATTATAAATATTAAAATAAAACAAATCTATAAAAAAATTAGTAAAATAATATAAAATTATATTAACATTTAAAAATAAAATAAAAAATATTAATATTTTAAAATATATACTAAAAATAATTATTATTTTAAATATATATATTAATGTATAATTATATATTCGCATTATATTAAAAATGTATAATTTAATAAAAAAAATAGAAATAATAAAATATAAATTTTAAAATATTTTTAAATTGTTGGACTAAGATATGTTATAATATCATAATAAAAAAAAAAATTAATAACTATATTAAAGATTAAAGATTTGAAAAAGTTAATATATAAAAGAATAAAAATAATGAAAATATAATATAATTAAAAAGAAAAATTTTATATTAAATATTATAAATATTAATTAAAAAAAAAAAATATATATATAAAATAAGATATTATAAAAAAAATATTTAAAAATTGAAAAAGAAATAAATATTATTTATAAACTGAAAAATAGTAAAAATAAATATTATAAAAATAAATATATATATATAAAAATTATATATATATATATATATATATATATATATACACATATATTTACATATTTATATATTAATTAAAAAATGATTGATTAAAGGACATTAGCATGTCCAATACATTTAAAAAGTTGTAATTCATTATGTTTAGATTCAGATTGCAATTATTTATAAAGAATAATATGTATAGGCTGTTTTATGGATCCTAAATACAATCATACAAATCACCAAAAAAAATATTCGAAATAGAATAAATATATTAACATCCTGATGAGATCACTTAATAATTAGACTTATAAGAATACAAGAACCTTCCCAGGATAAATGAATAAGAAATAGAAATAATTTTTGAAAAAATAACTGAATATTTTTTATAATAAACACAAGAATTAAAATTTCAAACAATATAAAAATTAAAGCAAATAAATTAAAAAATTGATGAATTTAATTGTGAAAATATAAGTGATATAATGGATAATCTAGACATTTAAAAAAATTGTAAAATTGAAACTTTAAGAAAAATATTAGAAGACTATTAATATAATTTAGATATTAATACATTAAATGAAAAAGTATAATTTTTTACTTAATAAAATGCCTCTTTTTGTTCTAAAAAAAATTAAGTTTATTTTGAAAAAGATATATTTGATTTTTCCATATATCAAATATAAAAAAAACTATAAAAAATACAAAAATATATAAATATTAATTTTTTGAATTAATTTGAAAATTATACATAAGAAAAAACACAAAATATTACAAATAATTAATAAGCATTATAAATAACAAACACTTCCTAATTTTATAATTTTATTTAATTTTCAAACCATGAAGTTAAAAAAATTGATCTTTCATATATCATTAGTACTTTTAATTTATAAACTTATAATATACCTAATCATATTGAATCTATAGAAATTAAAATTGATAATGTAAATGATTTTTAAAATGCTTCAACTTATAAAAATTTAAAGAATATTCCTTTTTCAGTTAAATAATTATACTTTAGTTTAAGGTTACCCCCTAAGTATTATTTTGATCATTGGAAATTTGTATAATTTTAGTTCCCTTAAAATATTTAAGAATTAGAACTCGATTTTGCTGATTTTGAGTTGTGTAAGGTTGTATTTAATTTTATTTTATTAAACTTGCCTTTATAATTAAAATAACTTAGTCTAAATTTGTCTAATAGTGAATTAAAAGGGTAAAGAATAAACGATTTTTTAAAATGTTTGAAATCTTTGAAAACATATAACCGTTTTTTGGAAAAGATGAAAGTATGTTTTGATAAAAATACATTTGAAAATTATTATTTGAATAAAGTTTTGTTATATATAATTTTTTTCCCATAAAATTTAAAAGAATTGTATTTGGACTTTTCAAATATTTAGGGTTATTATGAAAATTAAGAAAATAACTTATAATTATAATAAAAATTAAATTAAAATAAAATTAATAAAGCAAGTATTTATTATAATATAGACCTTAAAAACTACTTTTTTAATTTAAAAAAACTATTCATTAATCTAGAAAATACACCCCTATATATTAATAATTTTAAATTTTTTATAGATACTATATTCTAATGTTGTCCGAAATTAATTTTCTTTAATTTAAATATTGAAGGATCTAATTGTGGAACTGAACATATTTTTGCATTATAAAATTTGTTTATATATATCCCTTAAAATATGGAAGAGTTTTAACTTATTCTTAATAATAATTAATTTGATAAAGAGGCTTTAAATTAGTTTCTACTTTTAGCTTAAGGGTTGCCAAAATCTTTATAAAAAATCAGGATTGCTTTATAAGGTACTTTACTTAGTGTTTAGGAAAAATGTTAAATTAATAGTTATATGAATTAGTTTTCATTTAAATTTGAATTAATTTGAAGAATGTTATATTTTTATATGGGTTTAATTTATTTTGGTTTATAAAATAAGATTTTTTTTTTTAGTTTTAAAGTTTATGAATTAATATAAAAATAAAAAAAAAAAAATTAAATTAATATTTAATTTTTTTAATGTAATAACCAAAATATAATATAATTATTGATTTAAATGTTAAAAAAATTAATATATATAATTAATTTGATTATAATTGAAATAATAATTAATTATTTCTAAATATTTAAAATATATATATAATTTTTTTTAAAAAAATATTATTAAATAATTATAAAAAAAAGCATTTTATATATATATTAATTAAAAAATAAAATTTATGTTTATTTTATTAATTTAATAATATTTTATATATTTTATTTTTTTGGAATTATATTTTTTCTATTTTATTTTTTTTCAAACAACTTCTTAATTTTTATTTTATTCTTTTTCTTCTTTTTATTTATCTTTTTCAAAATATTCAGGTGGTGGTACAGGAATTTTTATTTTATCCTTATTTTTTAAACAATAAAGTGCAATAAGCGAAATAGGGTCTTCTGGTCTTTCTTAATCACATAATTTTAAAGCCTTAAATAAACAAAAAAAATTAAATATTAAATAAAGTAAAAAATAAAAACAGGTAATAATAAAGGAACAATAGCTCTTCTCAAATAATTAGTATCGTCAAGTTCTTACATTTATTCGAATTCAGACTTTTTATATTATTATTCATGTTGACTATCCTCAAATGAAACAATAGGAAAAGGTATTTATTTTTCAATTCTTTCAATTTCTTCTGCTCTTTATTTTTCACATAATTCTATTGATTTTAAAAAAAAATCAGGGTCTTTTAAAACATCTAGCATATTAACTCTTACAAGATACCTAATTTTTTACTTATGATTAATAAAATTTGTAAAAATAAAATAAATATATATATATATATATATATATATATATATTAATATAATAATCTAATATATAAATTTATATTAATAATACTTATTTATTGATTTTTTAATTGGAATTCTTGTTCCTTTAACTGCATCAATAGTATCTACAATACATTAATCATCTCTTATTATTTTATTTAATTAAAAAAAAAATATAAATATTACTCAGTTATATTATCATCAAAGAATATATGTTAAGTTAAATAATCAGTTTAATCAATAAATAAAGTTTTCGAAAAGTTATATTTTTCACCATTTTTATTCCAATTATACCAATCATCAATAATTGCTATAGCGCAACTCTTTTTTTTTTAATTTAAAAAATTTAAATAAATTTTATTTTAAAAAACTAACTTCTTTTAATAATTCTTAAGTAATAGTATATATTTAATGACTTCCTTTATAAAATTTAACTTATTATTTTGTAATTTCATTTTAATAAAATTATTCCAAATCAGTAATCCCTGGTTATAATTTTTTTGATGTCCCCAAAATTAAAGTACACTCTTCTACATTATCTTAAGGTCTATAAAAGCTACCTAAATGTGAATTTTTAATTTTATAGTTTTTGTTGTTTTTTGATCCATCGAATTTTACTAAAACAGTTCCGTTTCTACCATTAAAACATGGGTGCTCTCCAGCACAAAAACTGTTTAATTCTTTAACTACATCATTGATGTCTTCCCCAAAAGTTCTGAATATTATTGCAAATTCTCTTTTTTGTTTCTTTAGGTTAATCATAGTTCTAAAAAAGCTTGGTATTATAAAATATCTACCATCTGATAATAAATCGATTATTTTTTCTTCATCATTATGTTAAAATGCTTATTAACTAAATTATCCTCCTTAGTCTTCTTCTTATAATTTTGCCTTTTATTTTATTTTATTTATACATTTTTTTTTTTTTATTTACTTATTCTTATTTTACAAAATCAAATACTGTCTTTGGTAATGTAACTGATTTAATTATTCGATCATATTCAGGTTTTAGTTTAATTCCTGGCATTCCTGTTTTGACGAAATTTAAGTATAAATTATTTCTGTTCTAACTTTTTGTTTTTATATATATAACAAAAAAAATTAATATAAAAAAATTATTTACATCATAAAATCATTATTCTTTATCAAATTTTCATGATTCTATTCCTCTTCTTTTGTTTTTAAAGGATATACAGTTTCAGCATATTATCTATTTATTTTTAAATGTATTTTTTTTTTAATATTTAACTTATAACTAAGCATGTCTTTTTCAGGTTGTTAGATACTGTAATGCGGATGATCTTTTTTTATTTTTAAAAATGAATATTATATTTTTTTTTTAATTATTTTACATAATTTCCATTAAACAGGGGACTTTTCATCTTTTTATTCAAGTCTTCCCCAAGAATAACCAGCAAGTATTTAATGAAGCTTATATTTTTTATTAAAAAAAATATAAATATATTTAAAATTTAATCTGTTTAGATTTTAAATTTCTTACATGTTCATCTTTAGAAACACCTTTTACTTTATCTCCTAATAATATTGTTCTGTTTATATCGAAATGGAGGATAAGCTTTTTATTTGGTGGTTTATTTTCTTCTTTTTTATTCATAATTTATTTCTTTATTTCAATATATATTAAAAAAATAACTTAAAAATATCAAAAATTAATAATATTTTTATTATAAACAGGTTTATAAAAAAAAATGTAATTAATTTAATATTTTATTTTAAATTTAAATATATTATCTAGTATTTTATATTTTTTTTAGTTTAATAATCATATTTCTATATTAAATTTATTATTTTATTATAAATAATGAAAAGTAAATAAAATAAACTTTAAATTTTAATATAATATTTTTTAAAAAGTAATTTAATTTTTTTTATAAGTAGTTTTTATTCTATAAATTTTAAAAAAATGCAAAAATAAATTGATAATTTAGAATTAATTAATAAATCATATATATATATATATATATATATATATATATATATATATATATATATAATAAATAAGAAAATGTGTTAATCTCATAAGATTTATTTTAAATCCTTAATTTAAAATAGTATTATTTGGTTATTACCAGAATATAATAAATACTAATAAGAAAATTATCATAAGAAGCAAAATTTAGAATTTCTTAATATTCTAATCATTTAAAAGATACAATTGATATATTTTAAATAAAAAAATATTATAATATATTTATTATAAATCCAGAATATTGATTAAAATTTATATGGTATATATTAATTATTGTTTTTTATGGTTGCCTTAGATCTTTTTATTGGTTTTAAATTTTAATAATACATAAAAATAAATCTAATTGTATTTAAACCTTTGAAAACCGAATTAATTCTCACATTTATATATTTCTATTGAATAATGTTTTGAGTCTAGATATTATTGTTAATTTTATTACATCTTTTACAAGTATTGAAATTTAAGAACTTGTTTATGATTTAAAGATTATAATTTTAAAATATTTAAAGAAGACATAAAATTATATATTAATATTATGACATTTTCCATAATTTATTATCTATTTAACATATGATTATATTTTAAATAAATATCTGTATTTTAAATAAATATTTTGATAATACCTCTATGTATAATAATTATTAATTAATCTTTTTTTAACAAAAAATAAAAAAAAAAGAGGATCTTTTTTATTTGATTTAATTACTATATTTCCTTTTTTTATTTAAAAAGAATATATTACATGTATAAACTATTTTTTTTTTTGTAAACAGTATTAACTAGATTATTAAGGTTAGTTTTGTTTTTAAAAGTTATAAATTTAAATACATTAGTTAGTATAATAAATTAAGCAATAGAAAATAAAAATCCAAACAATACAGTTAAAATAAAATTAGATACATTTATAAAATATTCAGATTATTATTAATTAAATTTCTATAATATTTTTTATAAGTAGTATATGTTTTATATTTTAAAACAAAAAAGTTTAAAATGAGGGATATTTATTTATTACGATATGGAGAATAAATATACCTTATTTTAAGTAATTATTTGCTTTTATTTTACTTTTAGTATTCTTGCTACTGTTTGATATGTAGATTTTACGCCCAAAGGGGGGGATACCTTTTTTATGCATAATTAACCATTTTGTATAATATTATTTATTTAAGATTTTCATAAAAATCAAGATTATATTAATAAGTTAATAGATTTAGAAGAATGGTTAGTTAGTTTAAGTATTTTTTTTTTCTTAGTTAAGAAAATTGATAACTCTATCAATAAAGAATTAGTTTCTAATATTTAAATAATTATAATTACTTTTATTAAAATTACTATCTGTTTCTAAAAATAATTAATATTTCTAATTAATTAATGCCTTTGATAGAAAAAATGCATATTTAATTTTTTTTTAAAATTAATCTAATACGAATACGGCATTTATTTTAAGATATTTTTAAGTAAAAATTTAGAACTTTATTTTTATATAGAAAGGAAAATATAATTATAAAGATTATAATTTTTACATAGATATACCTTTTTATCTTTTACTAATAAAATAAAAAAACTAATGAAGATTATTTATTAATGGATGGAGAAATAGAAGTTCTTTTTATTATAAATAATTAGAAAGTAAATATATATATATATATATATATATATATATATATATATATATATATATTTAGCCCTGATTTCATTTTGGTTCTATAAAAATTTTAAATAATTAATTAAAAAAGTTTACTTATACTACTAAAATTAATGTCCTTATTTTTATAATAGAGAAAGATTCTTTTTTGATATAAATAATAGGGTTTTATACATTTATTTATAAAGTAATTTTTTAGTATAAAATAAGATTATATTTCTAATGTTTTTAGTCTTTTTAAATACACCAAAAACTCTATGATTGAAGAATTCAGATTTTTGTTAAAAAAAGAAAAAACTACATTTCTTTAAGTGAAGATGAGGTAAAAATAGTTTTTCTTAGTTTAATTAGAAATATTGGTAGTTTTAAACAAAAATAATAGGCTTTTAGATTATTGATAAACTAACGATTACTTAATAAGCTTTGATTTTTTAAAGTTATAGTGATTTAAATTAAATAAAGAAGACAATCAAAAAAAAAAGATTATAGTTATCTTTATAATTGTTTCAATAATTTAATATAATAATTATATCTTATAAATTCTGATTTAAAAAGATACTTGAAAGAAAAAATAATTAATTAAATTGAAAATTATTGATATAAAACATATATCTATTTATTAAAATAAAAAAATATAATATATTTGTTTAAAAAATGCAAAGACTAAAAATAAACAAAAAAAATACAATATATATTTTTATAAACTTATATTAATAATAACTTATTTTTTATTTTTTTTATAAAAATCTCATTTTTATTATTAATTACTATTCGATTTATCCTTATATTATTTAACAAAAGTCCTTAAAATTCCAATCCTTTAATTAGCATTTGAATTAAAGTTAAATCCATATTTTTTTCCACATCTATATATAATGGATATGTCAATTTTTACAAATAAACAATAATAAATATATACCTTATTTATAATAAATAATCATCTAAAGTTTTTTTTGAAATCCCCACTTTATTTGCAGCTTCTTCTAAAGGCATATTAACAAATTTCCCGTTTTCATCATAAAATCCAGAATATAATCTTCTCCATAAAGCCACCTTTTCAATAACTTCTGATATTTTTCTTTCTTTCACTCTATTACTTTTTTATTAATTATTTTTTACTGTATTAGTACTATTACTCTGTAAATCATATCCTATCTTTGTGATATTATCTTCGTATTCTTATCTATTTACTTATTCTTGGAATAATTAATCAACAAGATTTTTCTATCCAGTTCTAATTTTTATTTCAAGCTTTTTTTTTTAAATTATAATTTTGTTAACTTATATATTAAAAAATTAATAAATGTACCATTCTTTAATTTAATAAACAATCTAAAGAGACAAAAACTGATGGAGGCAAAGGATCTCTTCCACAAAAAACATATAAATCTTTATTTGGATCAAAATATGATATCATTGATTTCTATTCTAAAAGTCCTGAATTTCTTAGATTTTCAAGTATTTAACATAAAGCTATTTAATTATTTTGATTTATATATGCTGTTTAATTTTAAAAAAGTGTTTTATTATCCTTATATTAATTAAATATTACAACGTCTATCTATTTTTATTATATTTTTTATATTTTTTTAAATTATAATAAAAACTGTAATTTGCTTGCTGAAATTTATTTCGTTTGCTTATTATTATAATATGGCTTATTAAAATTATTGTTATTATTATGGTGTTATTAGTGTTTAGTTTTCTAATTAAGTTATTTAATGAGTTTATTGGTTTTGTGTTATATTTTACATAATAATACTTTTTTTTTTTATTTTTTTGTAAAAATAATAAATATTATATTAAATTTATTTTATTTATAAGAATTTTTTATTAAGTCTTTGTTTTTTTTTTAGATAAAAAATAAATATTTATTCTGTTTTTTAAAAAATACCTTTTATTATTGAATTATCATCAGAAAATAATTAACTAATAATTATTATAAAGAAATTTATTATATTAAATAATCAATTTCAAAAATTATAAAAAATAAAAATAGCAAATTATAAAATTTATTATATTGATAATTAAAAAAATTAAATAAATAATATTAGAGATGCTTTATTTATTTAAAGTAATGTGTTAACAAAAAACTAAAATAAAATATTTTATTAACAGAATAATCTCAGTTTAAATAGTCAAATTCTATATGAAAATCTTATAGTTTATATATAATTTAATTTATGTTTTTTAATTTTTATTATTTTGAAATAATTCTAAAATAAAATATATAGAAACAAATTAAAAAATTTTATAAAAAAATAAAATAACATAATAATATATATATATATATAAATAATTTATAATCTCATTATAAAATATCATAGATTTATTATTAATTTATAAATATAGTTTAATATATAATAATGTATTAAATATTTATATTTAATAATATATAATATTATTTTATTATATAAAAAATTAAAAATTAAATTAAATAAAGATAAATGACAAAATAAACTTAATTTAAAAATTTTTAAGATTTTTATCATTTTTATTTATCTGAACATTCGAATTTAATAAATCGCCGTCTTCATTGGATAGGAACGACATTAGCTATAATTGTTTTTGCTTTTGTAATTTTTACTTCAAGAATTTAATTTTTAGCTTTATGTCCTCTTATTGGATATTCATTTGCATGGATTGGTCATTTTTTCTTTTAAAAAAATAAGGTCTTTCAATAACAAAATTAATTTATTTCTTATTATAATTTATATATATTTAAAGCCTGCTACTTTTAAATATCCAATATATTCGTTAGTGGGAGATTTTAAAATGTGGTATTAAGTTTCAAGAGGAGAGTTATAAATATGATACAATATAAACAATTAAGAAATATATTTCATATTAATTAAATAATATAAATTTTATTATATTAGACTAAAAATATACTATATTAATATTTTTTTTTATATGAAATTAATACTGATTATTTAAATATTTTAATTTGTTAATTTTTCTATTTATATTTAAAATCTTAAATATTTGAAAAAAATTAAAAAAAATATAAAAAATATTATCAGACTAATAATATAACTCAATGATAAATTAGACATTAAAATCTCCTAATAATTAATAAGAAATATAACTCACAAATGTATAAAAAATAAATAAATAAAAATAATTTAAAAAAGCTACTTAAAAAAATACTAAAAAATAATTTAAAAAAATGTTAACATTAGTAAATATTGTAAAAACCAAAAAAAAAATATAATTATTATTATAATAGCATAAATAACTTCATAAAAACTAATAATAAGAAATAAACAAAGTAGAAAAAGAAGCAATTTAGCTGAAGCTTAAAGCTTTAAAACCAAAATTAAAAAAATTTATATTAAACAATAAATTAAATAACATAATATAACAATTCTAGTAATTAAGAATATAAGGAAATATTGGAACTGTCGAATCATATTAGCCTTCTATAAAGAATATATTAATTTTTAAAAAAATATTTGAATTTTATAAAAATATAAAATCTGGAATCAGATTAACATCAGAATTAAATAAAAATACACATGATATTATAGGAGACATATCTTCTTTTTATAAAACAGATTTTTAATAAATTATAAAGAAATAAATTAATTTTATTGAAGTTTTTTCACCATATAGTATATTAATTAATGCTTGGGACTTAATTTAAATGTGTATTATTATTATTGCTATTTTTAATTTAAGCTTAATTATTTTTTTCGAACTTAACCATAATTAATATATATATTTTTATTAAATTCTATTTATTTTCTTTATATCTGATTGTTTTATAAAACTGAATACTGCTGTAATTAGAAAGGGAAATCTAATTTTTTTACGCAAAAAAATAATATTATCGTATTTAAAAAAATAAAGCTTAAAAGACTTATTAGGACTTTTACCTATTATAGATTTATCTTTTAATTTATAAATAAATTCATAGTAAAAATAATAAATATATAAATATATAAATATATATATATATATTATATATATATATATTTTTTTTATATATATCAATTTTTATTATATAAAAATTTTAGTTTTATTTGGATATTGATTATTTTTAAAATTTCTAATCTAATTAATATATTTTAAAAGTTTGCTTTTTATTTTAGTTATTATAAAAATTTGAAAAGCTATGTAGATTTTCTTTAATTAACTATATAAATGTCATCTATTTGTCATTTTTTTTCTTTAATCTGGCACGGGTTAGCTATTTATTAAATAAAAATTTTAAATAAAAATGATACATGGATTAACAAATACAGTAATATTTTTGTAAAAAAAATATTAAATATAATTAATTATAACTAAATAATAATAAAAATTAAAAGATATAATGAATGAAATGTTAGTTCTAGATACGTATATTCATTATATTATTTATCGACAACCATGATTTCTGGTGGTTCTAATGACTTACCCTTAAATATGTATGAATGTGTTTTTGGAATAGTATGTATGTTTACTACAGGTATGGCTTGGGCTTATTGCTTGAACACGATAGGTAATATAATAAATAGTTTAGGAATAGAGAAATAAAAATATGAAGATGATATGTTATAATACACGAGTATATGAGAAACGAAAATGTAAGTTAAGAATTAAGAACTAGAATTTCAAATTATATAGAATATTTATACACAGTAAAAAAAAAAAAAAAATACTTAAATAAAAAAATAATTTTAGTAATATAACTAAGAATCAAAAGAAAAATAAAAAAAATAATTTTCAAATTGTCAAAATAATTAAAAAATGAATTAGATTAAGAAATAATAGGAAAATATTTATAATAAATTCCTTTTTTAAAAAATTTAAAATCAATAAATAAAATTCCGGAGGTTCTATAAGAATGCCTTTTTTCACCAGGAGAAATAATTTTTAAATAAGGCGATTATCATGACTTTTCTTTATATTTTATTATTAAAGGATAAGTACATATTTTTTGTGAATAAGAGCACTGTAGTTCAAAAACACTCAAAATTTTAAAAAGAAAATAATATTTTGGAGAACTATCTTTTATAACAAATTAATAAAGAACAGCGTCTGCAAAAGCAGGAGATTTTTGTAAAATCTATAAAATTAAAAGAGATGAATTTTTTAATTTAATAAAAAATGAAGATTATGATTTTTAGAACTTTATGATGTTAAAAGAAGAAATTATTTTCAAAAATAAATTCTCTCATGATATTTTTAAATGCTTTTGTTGTGATTAATTAAACCATGTAGCATAAGAATGTACTAAAGTGCATTAAATAATAAAAAAGTAATTTTTAATTTAAAAGCTAATATAAAACTATGAGTAAATAAGAATGAAAAAAATGTAAAATAAATAAAAAATAAAGTAAAAAAGTTTACTTTTAATGGAAAAATGTTAAGAAAATATTATAAAAATACTTTCAAACAAAAAATGTTTTTCTTATATTCTAAAATTGGAAGATAATCTTGAAATAAAATACGATTAAGAATTTATGTAATATTATTCGAAAATATACGATAAATTAAAAAAGAAGAAATCTACTTTAAATTAAAGCAAGTACACTTTTGATAATAAAAAAGTTATAATATAACATAACAAAATGTAATCATAAAAAAATAATAAAGAATAATAATAATAATAATAATAATAATAAAAATAATAATAATAATAATAAAAATAATAAGTTTAATTTTTTTAAATTTTTAATAAGGAGATTGATAATTCAAAAAGTATATTAAATAATGGTAATTGCATTATTAGTGATAGAGATTTGAGTTAACAAATAAACTAAATGTCTGATTTTTTAAATGATATTTAAGTTATAAATATTTAATAATTTAATACGAGAGGATCTTTAAATAAATTAGACTAAGTGTTTCTTGATTAAAGTTCGAATATTTCATCTAACAATTTTAATGAAACTTTGGAAAAAATAACTTATAATAATGAGCTTTTAGATAATAAAGATTATTAAAATTTTGATGATTAAAATTAATATAATACAATAAATAATTATAATTTTAATAATATAGAATATTAGAAAAATATTAATAACAGTTTAAATAATAAAAATAGCTATGAAAACGTTAATATTAATAACACTAATATAAAGCAAGTTGATAGTTTTGATGCTATAAATGATATAAATCCATCTTCTTATAAAAAAGTTGAAACTTTATTTGATATTAAAAAAACATCCACACATTGGTTTAAATAAAAAACAAATACTAAATCTGATTCTTAATTTAAGAATTATATTTAAGAAGAAACAGAACAAACTAAAAATTAAGAATTAAATGATTAATAAAATTATAATTAAGAATAAAATAATTAAGAAAATAAAGACTAAGAAATTGAAACTAAGTTTTAAAATTTATAAAATAGAAATTAAAAAGATTTATAAAATATATAATAAAAAAAAAATTCCATTTTTTAATGTGTTTCGAATAATTTTTCGGATTTAGAATAAATGGATTGTAAAAAATTATTTAGTTTTTATTATATTCATAATAATTATAATATAATTATTTATTAATTCAATAAAAACTAATAATATTAAAAATATGAAAGGGAGAAAAAAAAGAATATCTTAGAATTAATTTCCTAAAAATTTAAAAGTAATATAAATATTAATTATGATAAAAATTGAGATTTTTATTTTATATATTACTAATATTAATTATTTGTATATAAATTATATATTAATTTAATAATTTCATTTTATATTAAATACAATTTATTTATAAATATAAAAATAAAAATAAAATTAAAAAAATATATAGTTTATTTTTTAATAATTAATTATTAAAATAAAAAAATTAATTATTCCAATTAATATATATTTAGATTTTTTTATTAAATAAAAAATAAAAAAATACTTAAAATAATTATAGTTTTATATATACTTCTTTTTAATTAGAAAATAAATATATACAAGATTTAGAAATAATAAATAGAAATTCGTTTGTTTATTATTCTTAAAAGTAATTCTATTTATGTTTATTTTTTTCATTTAATAAACATAATGGTAAAATATAAATAAACTAAATTAAAATAATAGTATAAATAAATTTGTTATTAATATAGAAGACATATTTTTTTATATATATCCAATTTTTATATATATTTTCTGTAAAATGGATAAATAATATAATTTTATTTAAAAAAAAATATATTAAAAAAATACAATTTTTAAATACGATATATTGCAGTAAAAAATCGTAAAAATCAAAAAAAATTGTTTAAAAAAATATAATTTAGAATAATTTTTTAAATAATTAATATAAAATAATAGAAATTAATATTAAAATGCGAAGAATTATATTTGTTAATAATTTTATTTAATTAAAATATTTATGATTATTTAATTGTTAATTATTATGCTCATTTATAAACAAGTTAAAATTTATCATATTATAAAAGGCAGATAGTTAAGGTATTTATTTATTAAAAACTTATAATAGGAAATAAAAAAAATCAGATATAAATTTATATTTATAATTTAAAACTTAAATATTATGTATATAATTTTATTTAATATAAATAAAAAATATAAAATGATATTATTATTAATTATAAATGATTTTATATATAATATAAAACAACAAAAAATTATAATCAATAATAAAAGGAATTTGTTATATATATATTTAAATAATGAATTTTATATTAATATTTTAACTAAAATTTAATATTATCATATATATATTTAAATGTTTTATTATTGTAATTTTTGAGTATAAAAATTCAAATTAATATAAAAAGCAAAAAAATATTATAAAAATAAAAAAAATATTATGTACAAAATATATTTTAATAAAGAATTTATTAAAAAATTATATTATAGATATAATCAAAAATAATAAGTATTTTTTAAAATAAAAAAATCATATAAATGATTTATATATTTTTATAATCAATTTTTCGATTTATTTATTTAATAATAAGTATATCATAAAGTTCTGTTTTCAATTTCAATACTACCTAATTTAATAAAATTTTGATCTCTTTTTCGTAAATATTTAAAAACTCCGTAAATAGCTAATATAGAAAAAATAAAAAGTAATACAAAAATAATTTATCCGAATTAATTATTAAAAAGAGATACTAATTTATAATAAATATATTTTTGTTAAAAATATATAAAGTAAATAAATTTGTTATTTTTTTTTAAATAAAAATATTAATATATAATTATATATTTTTATATTTATATATTTTTTTTATTTTTTTTATTTTTAATACATTTTTTTATATTTATTTCATCATTTATAATAAAACTATTGGCAAACCACATTTTACTTCTTATTTAAAATCCATTATTTTCAGCATAATATTTTTTATTTATTTTTCTTTAAATAATATGAGTTTAAGGTCCAATTCCATCTGGCTTTGAGTTTTCTACTGTAATTTTCCAATCTTAATCACATTTAGACACTAATACTACTTGTGTAGTGAATTCATTTATTTCATATTTGAAATAAAAATTTTCATTTTTTAAAACTCCATCTTAATTTTCAAATGAAGAATCCTCTTAAAATCCTAATTTAAAAAGTTATTCGAAATTTTCAAAATTTTCAGATTCCATATTCACAGATGAATTTCTCATAAAAAAAACTCGTGTTTTTTCTACATTAAAACATCCATTTATTTAAAATTCTATGTTTGTTTTTTCTATTTTTTTAATTATATGTTAAGGAGTTAAGTTTTTTATAAAATCTAATGTAAGTCTTATATTTCTTGATATATGTCCTATTCCTTTATTAGCATACCCTATTTATTCCCATGTACCTTCTTTTTTACTATCATAATCGAATTCTCCAACTTCGATTAAATAAGTAAGAGAGCGTGCTATTACATCATTTATTTCTAGTTCTTCAGCTGATATGCCTTAACATTTTGCTAATAATGTTGTGTTTTTAGATATTTTAGGCTCCCAACTTGCTGCATATGACCAATCTTCGAAAGTTCCTGGAACTGCGTATATAGAATTAGTTAAAGTATCATATGGATAACTAATATATAAATATAAAATATAATTAATTAATTAATTTTTTTTCTAAAATAATAAAAATAACTTTAAAATGTGATCACTAAAAGAAGCCTAATCCGCCATTCTTTTTCCATATATAAAAAAAGCCTTTTAATCAGGTGCAAATTCTCCAGTTTACTTATATTACTTTTAACTAATATGATTATTAGACCCATAAGGCCATCCAATAGCATACATACCAGCATGAAATGTAATAGCAGCCTAAAAAAGATGTTATTTCCAAATTTTATTAATAGACCTTGCTCCTGCTGTTTTGAAGCAAAAATATGGCTTTTGATCATACGGAAAATCCCTATTCATATCAATTTCAATGTTTTATTGTTATTCTTCACGTCTATTTTATATATATCCAGATGGATTTGGGAGAGGCATAATTACTATATAATTATAGTTTAATAATTTAAGATCTTTTTCTAATATATATTATGTTAAGTAGGTTAGTATATTAGGTCCATATTATTCATTACCATGAAAATTACCGGAAAAAAATGTCTGAGTAAACTTATTATGGTTAGGGTCAGTGAAATTCGACAAAGAAACATATATAAATTTACAACGAGTTTAATTACAATTTGTGTAGGGGAATTTTTGTTCATCAGCATTTTTTAGTTAGATGTAGTTTGGATATTTTTAAGATAGTATGGTTAATTTTTCAATAATTTAATCGTATGTAAGTTTTTTTAATGAGAAGTTTTATTACTTTTGTTAAGTTAAATAGAATGTTGTTAATAATAGATTTATTAGTAGTAAAAGGTTATTGAAATGCATTTTATATTTTATTATTATAGTATATAAAATATATATAAAATAAATATATATATATATATATATATATTTTAAATTAATAATTTCGTTTTATTTATTAATTTTTTTATATATTTATTATAATATTTTATCTATTTATATATTTAGTTAATTTTTGTTTCATAAAAACCCATTATTAATTAATATTTCATCTATTTTTGGAAAAGATTAAGTTATTAAATATTATATATCATCTTTATTATTTAAATTATAATTTATAATTATAATAAATGCATTTATTAGTTTATTTTACCTTATGACATTTCTTAAATTACATAATTTGCTACTTCATATGCATTTCGGCTTTCAGGTCTTCCTATTCCAATTTTAATTCTCATAAAATTATCTGTATTTGACCAATTAATAACTGATTTTACACCATTATGTCCTCTTTATTTTTAATAAATATAAATTTATTCGATTCAAAGTATTATTTATATATATAATATAAATATTAAATAATTAAATATTTTTTTATTTCTTATATAATTTACTATGCACTTCCATTATTTTTTAATTTTATTTAACCAAATTTATTATCTAAATCGTCATGTATTATTATTTTATTATATATCTTTATAATTTTATATTTTATATATTTTTGTTTGAAAAAAAAATTAACTTGAAATTCTTTTTATATTGCATTTAAAGGTATTCCACTTAAATTCATAAAACCAGATGATTTAAATAGTATAATATTTTCATCTTTTTTATTTTATATTATTGCATATTATCCTCCTTTTTATATTATATTTTTTTATATAATTATTGGTTTTTCACTTCTTTTTTTATTAACTATTAAATATATTCAGATAACCAAACAGACCACTTTCTCTGCTTTATTTAAATTATACTTTATGCTTTTCTGCGAGATAATTTACATACATTTTACCTACATTGTGCCTTGTTTTGTCATAACTTGGAGATGAATTACCTAAACCATAAATCTATATTTAATTTTATTAAATTATTTTTTTGCATTTATAAAAACTATTTTGTATGAAGACATTTTATTTTAATTTAATTTTTATAATTATTGCTTAAATTAATTATTTTAATATGTTTATATAAATTCATATTTATCAAAAAATATTTAAATTATACTAATAATATTTAAAATTTTATATTTAATAAAAATAAATATAATTTAAAAATGGTATTTTTAATAATAAAAGAAAAAAATAATATAAAAAAAATGAATATTATGTAATTAATTTTTATTACAAATATTAACAATTTAAAAAAATATCAATATTTAAAAAATTAAAAATAAAAATACATAAAGAAAGGTTGATTAAAATATTATTATGAATTTAAATTAAAAATCAATAAAATAATAATGCAAATATTTAATTAAAATGCGCAAATTGATTGTAAATTATATTAATAATTTTTTAAAAAAATTATAATTATAATTTCAAAATATAATAAGTATTTTATAATTAAGTTATAACTAATTTTAATAATGAATAGAAATAAAAAAAAATTATTTAATATTTTATTTTTATTGTTTAATTATATTTATTTATTAATATAAAAAAAATATATATATAATATAGTTAATATAAATAAATAAAGTTAAGGAAAAAAAATACAAATAAATATATAATAAAAAATAGAAAAAAATAATAAAAAAAAAAAATTAAATTATATAAAATAAGAAAAATGGTTAAAATAAAATAATAATAATAATAATAATAATAATAATAATAATAATATTAATATTTTTACTTTTTAAATTCATTTAAAAAAAATGTAAATAAGAAATAAGAAAATATTAATAAACATATAAAATAATAATTTTAATTACATTATAAACATAACAATTTTTTTTATATAAAATAATTAATTTTATGAAATAATTATATTTAAAATATACTTAAACTTTTTTTACTATTATTTTTTATTTTTTTATTTATTAAAATATTAATTTTCAACTATATATATTCCTTGCTTATTATTAAAATATATTTACTCTATTAGAATATTAATTGTATTCATTATTCTAATAATATTTTTATCTGTCATTCTCTTATTTATAATTTGAGTTATAATAAATTTAATTTTTTTATTAAGATTTTTTTTAGTTATCCTACACTAAATTTCTATAACTTTAATATTAACTTAAAAATCTTGGTCCCTTTTAATGTTAAAATATTTAAATATTTTCTGGAGTATTTATTCTAGATTAATAATTTAAGCATTTATTAATAATTTAAAGTTATTTAACTCTTTGTTGATCTTAATACATTCCAGGGATAGCTTATGTATATCCGTTTGACTAAAAGATTTTAATTTTTAATATTTATTTTATATTTTTAAAAATTAAAAATGAAATAATAAATAATTATACATCAAAAACCTTTTTATTTATTTATAATTCCCTTATATTCATAAATTCTCTATAATTTGTTTATTTTTATAAAATCTTAATAATAATTATAAATTTAAATAAACTTTAATTAAAATTTTATTTACTTAACTATTTAATTGATTTCTATATTCTTTTTTTATATTATCGTTATATTATTTTTACAATTCATCTTAATTTTTTAATTCTTAATCCTTTTATAATTTAATAAATACTAAAATTAATTTTTTAAACTTTTTAAAGTAAAAAATCATGTTATTTTTGTTTTTCTAATTCACTTATTTATTATAAATCATGTTTTAAATCAATTTATGAATTAATATATTAGTTGACCTCATTATTTTTCTTTTATTTGAAAAATTATAATATAATTTACTTTTTTTTATAAAACTTATTTTTTTAATTCTTTATCTCTTTCTATTTATTATTATTCTTATATTAATTTCTTTATTTTATAATCATATATAAACTTTTTATCAAAATCATTTTAATTCTAAAGTTATTTACAAAAGTTATCAAAATAATTTTTTTCTACAGGATTAGTATAATTTTATAAACATTTTAATTTAAAATCTTCTAAGAACTATGTTTTTTTATTAAATAAATATATTTATATTTATTTTAAATTAATAATATAAAAACATTTTATCAATTACAATTTTTTTTCTTTTTCTTGTTATTTTAATCTTTCAAAATCTTATTTTGATATTTAATTGTGTTTATAATCATTGATTTCATCTTATATTTTTTTCAAATCTTAATGAGCTTAATGATACTAATAATATTAATCTTTTAATTACTATTTTTATTATTATTATAAGATTTATTCATTTTAAACATCTTATTAGTCTTTTTAAATTATATTCTGTTAATAATCTATATCTCTTTATTTATTAAAAAGCTTTTATTTATTTATTTAAAATAATAGATTTATTTTTTATTATTAAAAAATATATTGTATATATTAATTTTTCTATACTTCTTGATGATTTTTTAGTTAAATTTAATTCTTATTAAAGTTTAAACAATTTTAACTTTAAATCTAATTTTTCATTTATCTCTCTTTCTAGTATTGATTCATTTACTTTTAAATTTAGATTATTATTTTATTGGAATATATATAATTAATTTTTATAAAAACCCTTTCATGAAGACTTTAATTTTATTAATTTTCTAAATATTATTATTATTCTTTTTATTGTTTTTATTGTATATAATATAAATCTATTGAATTTTTCAAATCTGAACTTTTTACAAATTAAATTTAATAAAGTTTTATTTATTTTTTTGATTTACTTATATTAATGATGAATTTTATCTTCATATTATTTTATTTAATTATGATATTCCATTTATTTTCTAGTTTGCATATCTTATATATATGCCCATTCATTTTTATAATGATTATCTTTAATAATTGTTTTATTTAAATAATAAATGTAATTAATTTATGTGTACCTGGAAATTATTTTAAGGGTGATTATTAATTCATGTTTTTACTTGATAATATAAATATTAAAATATTTTAATATTTAATAAATTAGTTTGACTTTTTTATATAAATTCAATAATAAAATAATTGATAAAAAATGTTAATTATATTGACCATAAAAAATAAATAATAAATAAAATAAAAATGAGAAAATTATATTAAATATTAAAAATAAAATAAATTTTATATTTATAAAACATAAATATACATATAATTAAGTTTAAAAAAATAAAATAAAATATAATTTTTATATAATAAAAAACAATATAAAAAATTATAATAAATTAACATCTTCTATAAAATAAATCTCATTTTTAAAGTCCTTAAGGTGTTCTTAGTATTTTCGGTCTGGATTCAAAAGCATGTAATTCATTAGTTGTCAACTTTTTAAATAAATAAAAAAAAATATAAAATATAAAAAAAAAAATAATATATAATTTACTTTTCCTGAATATTAATTTTATTCTTGTTAATTATTTTATTAGGAATTATTTTAATCTTAATTAACTTATATCTATTATTATTAATTTTATTGTTGTTATTATTATTATTATTCTTTATCTTGTTCTTATTCTTATTACTATTATTATTATTATTATTATTATTATTATTATTATTATTATTATTATTATTATTTATTATTAATTTTTTTTCTTAGTTCTAATCTTTTTTATTACTTTCCTTTTAAACTAAATTCTTTGAGTTTTTATCTTTTTAAGCTTGTGTTTAATCGTCAGCAAAGCTACTATTATTTTATAATTATTTTTTAATTATAGATTATTAAGCAGCTTATTATGTAAAAGGTAATTATTAAATATATTCATGCTACTTTTATAATTATTCTATTTTCCGTCTTTCTTCCCCAATAGGAGTCCTTAAAATTTTAGGTCTCGATTATAATTCTTCTGGAATAATTACTTATGGATCAACTTATTCATTATATTATAATTATTATTATTAATCTTATATATATTATTCTTATTATTAATATTATTATTATTATTATTATTATTATTATTATTATTATTATTATTATTATTATTATTATTATTATTTATTTAAATATTCTTATTATTATTATTGTTACTGTAATAATAATTACTATTATTATTAATTTTACAAAATATAATCTTATTATTGGTATTATTATTATTTAAATTATTATTAATTTCTTTACTTTTACTAACTGGGTTAAGAAACATAATTTTAACTAGTTTTTTACGAATGACTTATAAAGCTTGCCGACATTGATGGAGTAGCTGGTCTATTAAATGGAATATCAGTATTTTACTAATTTTTTTAATATCCAATATAATTTTAATGATTAGCGGTATTAGCAGACGATAAAATTCTTTAATTATGTGATTCTTAAACAATTTATCTCGTTATATTTTTTTATCTAATAGCTTCTGGCCCAATTAAACAAAACTTAGAAAAAAGTAAATTTTCTCCTAACTACATATTATCCGCATTTTCAATATAATCATCAGCCTACTCATCTTCTCCAATATCTTCCTCATCATCAATATCATCTACATCATTATCTTCTTCGTTTGAATCACTATTAGCTTCATCCTCGTCATCGTTTTTTTCTTTATTTAGTTAATCCATGATATATTAAATTTACTTCATAAATCTCTCGTCACTATTATCCATTAAATACTTTAATATATCTCCCATACCTAATGCCTTAGCTTATTCCCTTAATGATTATCGACTCAATAAGGAATACAAAGTTCCATTTACAAAAGTACGCACTTACATATTTTCATGTTCCAAAAGATCATTTAAAACATTTAAAACACCCTCTTTCGGATCTTCGCATTTTTACTTACCGCTGCTTCTTAAAGACAAATTCATTAGTAAGGCAGTTGCGTATTCATATGAATATTCTGATAATGTATCTTTTTCATCACGCAATGTTTATACTATCCATTGGATTAGGTTATTGTTTATCATTACTATTTATGGCTTTCGACGTAATGATAATTTTTGTAAAGAACCCAAAGCGTTCCTACGAGTAAAAGTATCCTGTTTCTATTTATTATTTATATGTTTTTTTTAATATTTTTTTATTTCTTTTTTTTTACTTCATTCCTTAAAGTATTTATTAGAATTATAACTAATGTATCAGACTTTATTAAATAAGTTCGACCGAAGAAATCAGATGCCATTGTATTTATTAGTCTTAATGAAAATCTTTTTTTTATATATATATTTAATTAAAATAAAAATAGATATATATATTTATTTAAAAATTTTTAAATAAATATTAAATTTTTTATTTTTATAACTCTTTTATTTTTGAGTTTTGTTAAAATAAAGCCCCTTAGAGTTATTAATTTTATTATTCACAGCCAACAATATCATATATAGAATAAGTAATAACTATCTCTCTTCTTATATAAGCGCCTCTTGTTTTTGAGATTCTTTATCTGAGAGCTTATAGTACGGCACAACATAAAACTGCATCATCTTATTTAATTAAAACTTATTTTATTTTCTAAAAATCAAGTGCACAGTAAGGATTTTCATAATTCATTGAATCTGCACGCGCATTGAATTATTAATAATCTACTAAAATAACTAAATAAATAAAATTTGATTATTAATAAACCTAATTAATTTTGATATCCTTCTTAAGGAACATATTCAGAAGCATTATTACCTCCACTATTTTAATCATTAAAAAAATAAAGTTTTTCATATTAGAATATTTATTATTTATGGATAATTAATTCTTCAATATTTTAGGTTAATAGTTATTCATATTTTTAAATTTTTCCAATTATTTATGAACATTAATCATATTTAAGAGGTTTTCCCTAATTAAGCTCTATTTATTTTTTAAGCTTTTTTTATTTAATAAATAAAATATATATTTTTTTATTTTCTTTAAATAAAAATAAAAAATACTTCTTCAGATAAACCAATAAGCTTTTAAGCCACAGTGAACCATTTTTATTAATTTTCAATTTAATTTTATTTCGATTAATCAATAATTTATTTAATTTAATTTTACAAAGCCATATATTTTTCTTTGAATTCTTTAACTATACCCACCAATTCTTTATTAGTATTTTATAATTAAATATAATTCTAATCAGTTTATTATTAAATAACATTATTTTAATATGAGATTTTCTATTAAGAATCGATTTCAGTCTAACTATTGTTCATATAGTGTTAATAAATATGTTAGATTAAACTAGTCTATTCATTATTATATATAGAAGATAAAAATTCATTCAAAGTATATCTTAAATCCAATATCCATTAATTACTAAATAAATGTTTCAAAGCTTAATGTTCTTATGGTCTAGGGATATAAGGAAGAGCATAATAATGTAAAAACTCGCTTGATTTAGATAATGCGGCCCCCCTTGTATCTAAATAATCCTTAAATGCATTAATACTGGCTTAATCTAATGTTTAACTGAGATTAAATAAAGGATGAATTTAGTAAATAAGGAAATATATTTAAAGATAAAATTCAAGTTTTGTTGCTTTTTCATCTGCTAATCGAATATTTAAAGGTAAAAATCTATTCCATTTAACAAAGAAAAAGTCTCTTTATCCATGTTTGAAATGCTTTGTTTTTTTGTTAATTAAAAATAAATCAATTATTTTTAATTATTTACTTCCATTAATTAAAATTCATATCCTGTATTTTAATTATATTATTAAATAGGTTCTGTAATTTCATCTTGAAAGCATTATAAGGTCTTTTATAAATTATTTTTTAATAAATATTCATGTATTAAATTGTTTATTGCTTCAATTGTTATTTCGTTAAAAGTATGATTTTTAATGGCTTAATGGGCGTAATTTTTTAATCCATTATTATTGCTATTGTTATTGTTATTAATTTATTTTTATTAATTATTTAGGGTTTGCTTATCTAAATTTTTATTCGAAGCTATTGCTTACTGATTGTTTATTTATAATGCTTTTTTTTTATGTTAAGGAGATTCTTTTTATATAGATTAATTTTGGGGAACTTTTCGGTTTTTGTTTGTTTATTGATGATTTTAGTTTTTTTTCATTTTTTTTATTTTTTTTTTTTATTTTTTTATTTTTTTTTTTTCCTTTTTTTTATTTCAAATTTCTAAAACATTTTTAATATTGTTTATTTTTTTTTTATAATATAATAATAAATATAATTATATATTTGTAAAAAAAATATATTTTGTCAAAATTAATTGTCTTTTAAATAATATATAGGATTTTAACATTCACTTATATCATCCAATCTTAATATATTTTTATTTAATTATTCTTGTCTATTATTTACAGCTGTAAGAGTTTATTAGTATTCCTTATCATTTGTAAATCTAGTAGGATGTTAAAATACAACTGAATATGAATTTTAATTATTAAAGTCAAATTATTGTATATTTTTTGTTTATTTATTTAAACTATTATGTAGAGATAGCATCCCAATGAAATGATAATGATAATTATTATTAGCATTTTTTTTTTAATTTTTTATATTTTCTTAATTACTATTTTAGAAATTCTCATAATATAATTATTTTAAGGTATCTAAATATTTAGGGATTTTTTTATTTTTATTTGAATTCAAAATTTAAGTATGAGGAGAAAAAAAAGCTTAAACTTTTTTTTAATTTGTAAACTTTGCTCCATTTTTTATTTTTTATATTAATTTTATTATTAATTTTATTTTTCTAAATCAAAGTGTATTTTTGGTAATGAAACATCTTTTTTTTATATTTCTTTTATGTAAAAAATAGGATTTTCTTTATTATTTTCTGAAATTTCTTAATAAGGTATTTTTTTTTAAATATAGTTTTTTTTAAATATTTCACTTTTTTTATATTATTTTATTAAATTTTTAGAATTTAAAGTGTTTTTATATTCCTTTTTTACAAATTTTGAATACATATTTTTGAATATATTACTTTCTGATTTAAACTTTTAAAATTTAAATTTTTAGTCTGTTTAATTATTATTATTACTTTTATCTAAATTTTCTTATTTTGAAAAGTTAAAACTATTAATATTTTTTTTTTAGTTTATTTCATATTTTAATTTTCATTTTAATAATATTCTTGTTAAGCTTGTTAATAAATGTCCTCTAAAGTACTTAAATATCTAATATTCTTTTTTTATATTTATCTTTTTTATATTTTATATTAAAAAATAAATATTTAAATTATTTATATTTTTTTAATTATACTCATCTATTATTTTATTTTAATCTTTAGTTATTACATCAAATGCTTATGATATTTCCTATTATAATTTTCTATCAATTACATCTAAAGATATATGGTATTCATTATATTAGTCAGAAGGTATTCGTGTTTATGTTTCTTTTTCATCAGTATTTAATTAATTTTTTTCTTTTTTATATATTATAATTATATTTTATTTTTATTTTACTTAAATAATTTTTTTTTATTTTAATTTCATTTAAAATGTTTTTTTTAGTTGTAATTTAGTTATTTTTTTATTAATATATGTCCTATATTTTTAATAATATTTTTTTTTAATTATATATTGTATTTATTTTCTTGCTTAATAAGATATTGTTTAAAGACTATTTTATACTAATTATTGAATATTAATTTAATCTTATTTCCCATTTATTTAATATGAAAAAAATAAATTATCAATTTTTTTGTATTTTTCTTAAATAAGTTTTCTTTTAATTTTATAGGGAGAAATCATCTACTTTTTTTTATTAAAATTATAAAAATAATAATATAAATAAATAAAATATAAAACATATAATAAATTAAAGTAAAATTAAATTAAAAATCAGTTATATATAACTATATATTAATAAATAAAACATAAATATAATATATATATATATATATTATATTATTCTATATAAATGTTATATTTAAATTATATTTTAAATATACTTATTTTTAATTTTTTTATTTAAATTTTTTTTTTTATTAATAACATAATAATTTTTGTTTTTTCTCTTATACATTATAAATTATTTTTTAAAATAATAATAATATTTTAAACAAAAAAAAAAATTTATTAAATATGTTTAAAAAAAAATTAATATTTACAATATTTTCAATTTTATACATTATTTTAATAATTTTATTAACATTTTCTTTATATTACAACCAATAATTTTAACAATAAACAATAGAATATCTCTAATAATATAAATAAATATCTTTCCTCAATTATTTTTATTTATTTTCAATAGGTGTTTTGTTAATAATAATCGGCTTTCCAGTAACATTTTATGTACTAATAATAGCTTTTATATTTTAAAAATTTTTATAAGCTTACGTTCTTTGTATTTTAATGGTTTTAACTGGATCTTCTTTATGTTTTACTATAGCGAGGTATATTTTAAAAAAACATGTTACTGAATTAGCTGAATAATATGAATAATATCATATATTTAATTTCGCTGTGAAAAAAATTCCTTATAAAATTGCTTTTATGGTCAAATTTATGCACATTCCATCTTTTTAAAAAACTATGGACTTGGGGTTATAGAAATTAATTATATTTAATTTATATTAGCCAGTAGTGTAAATATTTGCTTTTTAGGAATTTTTTGGTGCTATATAGGTGTTAATTTAAGTGATATTAGAAACGTGTTTATTTAATAAGATTAAAATATGCTTATTTTGAAGATTTTAGGATTTGTTTTGACCTTTATTATAATAATAGTTATTTTTTATGTCACTTAATAAGCTTATGAAGAAGTAAAAAAAGAATATGAAGATTATAAAAATTTATTAAATTAATAAGAAGAAAATTAAAAACTTATTTAAAATTGATTTTTTTTTTTTTCTTTATTAATGTAAAATAAAATAATTTATTATAAAAAAAAAAAAAACAAAGATATATAATTAAAAAAAGGAAAAAATTAAAAGCACATTTGCTTTATTTTTTTTATATAAAAAAATATATATATATAATTAAAAAAAAAAAATATTAAAAAAAAAAAAAAATATTAAAAAATAAAAAAAAAAATGGATAGCAGTAAAAAATCATCAAATAAATCAACTTAAAAATCAGCCTAAAAATCAGCTCATAAATCAGTTGATAAAAAATCAAGATCTAAATCGAAAACTCCTGTTAAAGTTTCTGCTTAAAAATCTACCTAAAAATAATCATCTAATAAAGCAGCAGAATAAAGAGCGAAATCTAGATCTAGATCAAGAACACCTTTAAAAACTGAAAATTAAGCAGCTTAAAACCGTAGATCAGGTTCAAAAAGCCCAGCTTTAAATAAAAGATCAGTGACACCTTAAAAACATGAAGAAGCAGCTAAAGGATCAACTACTAAATAACATGTTTCTGCTGGAAAAATGTCTGCCTAATCAGGTAAGAGAAGTAAAAATAACTGAAGAATCATAAAAAATAATGAAAATTATATTATTTATATGACTAAAGCGTTTTTTCATATAATTATTTATTATAAATAAAGATTATTTTTTTTTTCAATTTTTTATTTATTTCAGTATCTTTATAAAATAGTTTGCGCTTTTTTAAAATTTTCAAAATAAAAATTTAAATATTGTGATTAAAAAAAATAATAATTTTAATTTAATTTAATTAATAAAAAATAAAAAAAAAAATTAAATTAAAATAAAATAAATAAATTAAAAATTAATAAATATAAGAAATAACAAATAATTTTTTTAATTAAAAATATTAATATATATAAAAAAATAAGTAAAATTTTAATTATAAATATTTATAAAATAAAAATTTAAAGATAAAAAATATATAATAATAATAATAAATTTATATAATTAAATTAAAAATAAATATATTAAAAATTATACTTAATGATATTATAAAAAATAAATATATATATAAGTATATAAATATATAAAAATATAAATATAATTATATATATATTTTTATATTTATTTTATATATATTTATTATATAATATATATAATATTTTTTAATATTATAATTTATTATTATAATCATTTTTATTATTTTTTTTCATTAATTAATTCTGTTTCTAATGAAATTTTACGAAATTTATCTTTTTTAAAAATAATATTACTATCTTAAAATTCTTGATTTTTTATTTTTTTTCTAATTTATCACTATTATCTTAATCTTTACAATTAAAATTAATACCAATAAATATTCTAAAATAATAACATAATTCTATATTATCGACCAAAAATAATTTATTTAAATATTCTTCTAAATCTTTTTTCCTTTTTTCTGTTGAAATACTTAATAAAATTCCTTAATGTTTAGGTGGCAAATCTGGAAGTTTAACTTACTAATTATTTTCATAAAAAATCTACAAATAATCGTTTAAAATATCGAAATCTTTATATCTTTTTTCTATATTTGCTTTTGTAATTCCATTTTATATTATTTTGAATTTATAAACTATATATTATTTATTTTAATTGCTTTCTAGAATTTTAAAATACTCATCTTGTTATACTATTAAATTTTAATAATTAAAATTATTTATAAAATGTTATTTATATATATTTTCTGAATTTTTAAGACCAATAAAATAAAATAATTATTCACAAAAATAATTCTTTTCATTCAAAATGATATTTAAATAAAATTAAAGTCCATTTTATCTTATTTCTAGGGACTATTAATCTGCAATGAACATTTTAGTTGGTAAAGGAGGTACTTTTTATTTCCTTTCTTTTAATTATTTATTTAGTATTATAAAGTCATTAAATCTTTTTTATATTTTCCATTTAATATTTGTACTTCTTTCAACTAAATATACAATATAATAAATAGAATTTTCAATCTAAAAAAAATACATTTTTATAAATTTATATTTTAAAAAAAGTACTTATTCATATCCAATTATACAGACATCAAAATAAGTACCAAAACGGTCTTTTTTTGGAAAAATTTAAGAATTTTCACTTAATTGCGATTCTTCATCAAAATTTTTTCCTAAAAAACAAAAATAAATATAATAATAAATATATATAAATAAATATTTAAGTATATATTAATATTAATAATATAAATATATATATTTATAAAATACTATTTTTTATATTTAAAAGCTATTTTTATATGTCATTATCTATTTCTAAAAAATTAAGTAAATTTTGGCTTAAAAATTCTTGCTGAGTTAACAAAAACTTAAATAAATTTTTAAAATGACTAATTCCTTAATTAAGTTTTTAAAAGTCGATTTGTTGTCCTGAAAATAATTCCATATTAAAATTTTCTAATTCTAATTTATATGATGACGGAAATTCATTTTCATCATCATTAGTTTCATCTTTTATTTAATTTTCAAGCAAAATAAAATCGCTGTAATTTTTAATTATATGCTTTTCTTGTTAAAAGTCATTAATATTTATCCTAACTTTCAATTTAATTTGTATTTAGTTGTCTATCTTTTTAAAGTTTTGTGGAAATTTAACATTTATTAAATTCGTAGTACCTAAAAATGATTATTAATGTAAAGGAGGGGGTATTAAAGGTTCAAATATATGTTAATTTAAAGGTAGATTCCAAAAAATCCATTTTGTGCTTTTGAATTCATTTAAATCTTAGTAATATTTAAAAATAAAACCCATTAATAAAGATTAAATAAATATTCTTAGAGATAAAAGAATAAAATTAGAAATAATTCTTTGTTCATATTACTTAATTTATTATTAAAATAAAATAAAAAATTAAGTAAATAAATATATAAATATATATAAATATATATATATATATATTTATATATTTTTATATATATTTATTAGCATATATATTTTTAAGTATATAATTATAATTACTAATTAAAATTAAAGTATTAACATTGCTATTGAAATTAATAATTATAAAATCCAAAAGGGCTTATGAAATAACATTAATGCAATATTTCTATTATATTCTTTTATTTCGATAATAATTTATAATAAACATACCATTATAGGAAATATCCATAGAAAATAACAATAATTTTAAACATTATATATTTTACTTTTTATTGCTTAACTAATTATAAAAAAAATATATATTATTATGTTAAATATTTGCAAAATTAAACGAAATTTTATTATTTTATTAAATTTATGATTTTATAGTCCCATGTATCTTATTACATACCATCGGAATATTAAAATTAATCCAAATAAGAAACATATAAGATTTAACAATAACTCTAATATTATTTATGTTTGATTCATTTTTTTTAATATATGTATTATTTTTTTAATTAAATATTTAATTTTTTGTGTTTCTAATTTTAAAAAAAATAAAAAATATTATTATTGTTTATTTTTGATATAAAATTATTTTAATTGTATGCATTTTTTTTTATGTATTTCTATATTTTTATAGTATTATAAATAACTTTCCCTTATATAAATATTTTGATTTCTTAATTAAATTTATTTAATCTTTAATAAGAAAAATAAATTTCTAAATATTTTTTTCAATTTAATAAAATAATATAAATAAATACAATTTTAATTATATTATATATAAATTAAAAAATATTGATAAAAAAATTAACAAAACAATATAATATATTATAAAAATATATATGATTTTAAATAAAATTAAAATTAATAATTTCAACAAAAAATAAAATAATTAAATTATAAAAATTTATAATTTATTATTAAATAAATAAATATAGTTTAAAAAGAAAAATATTTTATATGTATATATATATATGAGAATAATAAAAAAAATAAATTATATTAAATCAAAGAATCAATGTATTTTTTTGAAAAAAATAAAAAACACACGTACACCACACCGCACACACATAAATACACGAAAAACGAAAATATATTTTTATAAAAATAAAAAAAATCAATAATAATATTTTTTTTTCATACATCTTAAGAAGCTTAACCAGTTTCTGACTTTTTAGTTTTAGATGGTAATAACATAGGATTGATATTAGGTAAAACACCACCATCAGCAATAGTAGTATTTGACATTAATTTATTCAATTCTTCATCGTTTCTGATAGCGAGTAAAATATGTCTGGGTACAACTCTGCTTTTTTTGTTATCTTTTGCAGCATTTCCAGCTAATTCAAGAATTTCAGCTGCTAAATATTCTAATACTGCTGCCATATATACAGGGGCTCCATTTCCTACTCTTTATGCGTATCTTCCTTATTTTAAGAATCTTGAAATTCTTCCTACAGGGAATTAAAGACCAGCTCTGTTTGATCTGGATACTTATTTAGAAGATGCTGTTTTTCCTTTTGCTTTTCCTCCTTTTCCGGCTGGGGTCATTTATTATTTTATTGTTGTTTTTTTTTTTTTTTTTAGTTTTTTTTTTTTTTTTTTTATTATTTTTTTTTTTTAGTGAAAAGTTATTTATATATATGTTTTTTTGAAGGTTTGTTTTGTTTTCACTTTTATTTTATTTTTTAATAATTTATCCAATCTTTATGAAAATTATCCAATTAAATTACATTTTTTTTGATTTCGGATAAATTATTTTTTATTTTTTGTTAATTTTAAATATTTGTATTTTTTTTATTTGAATGGTTTTATTTTAAATATAAACAGTTTTATTAATTTGAAATACATATTTCTCATTTTTTTTTTAAAAAAAAAATAAAAAAAAATAAAATAAAATTATATTTAATTAATATAAGAATATGTCATTTGTATGCAAAATAAAGTATAATATAATGTAAAATACGTTAAATTTCAAGTATAAAAATTATATTATTTATTGATATATTTATAAATATACTAATTATAATAATAAAGTAATTTAAAAAAAAGAAATTTCATATAAAATATAAATGAGCTTTATATATATTTTAAATAATTTATATATAGTAAAATTAATTATATATTTTTTTTTTAATTAACAAGTATTTAACTTTACTAAGCAATTTATTTTTATTATTATTATTTTATTAATTAAATATTTTATTATACCGTTATTTATTTCAATATATTACTATAATTTTATAATAAAAAATAAAATAAAATAAAATAAAATAAATAACATATAAAAATAGTAAAAAATCAATCAAAAAAATATATAAAAAAATATTAAAAGAAATCTAATAAATATAAATAACTTTGATAAAAATAAAATAATTAAAAAATATATTAAAAAAATAAAATCTTTATCAAATAAAAAAATAAAATGCAAAAATTAAAAATTTAATTAAATAAAAAATTATTAATTAATGTCCTCAAACTATTATAAATTAATAGAATAAAAATTTAAGTAAATTTATAAAAAATAAGTAAATTATATATAAAAAAAAAAATATAAAAAAGAATAAAAATATATTAGGTATAATAAATTTATTAGAATTTAAAAAATAAAATAATAAGCAATATTAAATATTATAATAAATTAAAATAATATATTAAAAAGTATATAAATATATATATATATATATATATATATATTTATACATAATAATTTTTTTATTATATCGAGAATTTTATTTTTTTTAATAAAATACATAAATACTTTTATTTAAAAATATTAAAAACTTATTTTCAAATTAATATTTATCATCATTTTTTTAAAAATTTTTAATAATTTTTAATTTGTAAATTCTTATTGATTTTTTTAATATTATTTTTGCTATTTAAATATTTTTTAGTAAAATTATTGCAAAAAATTGTATATTTTAACATATAAATATATTAATTTTTTTTTTCAAAATAGTATTTTTTTTATTAATTTATGATTAAAAGAATTTTTTTTTTTTTAAAAAAAAAAAATATTCTTTTTCAAATAATAATATCAGATAAAATTCTTACTCTAGACAGTATACGAAAAAAATAATCTTATTATATTATTTGAATAAATATGAAAAGAAAATATAATATTTAATAAAATAAAAAAAGCTATTGTTGATTTTAATTTGATAATTAAAAATAAATATTATAGAATTATTATTATTATTAAAACATAAAAATAATAATAATAATATTACAATAAAAAAATAAGTAAAATTTTAAAATATAAAAGTTATAATTAACTAATTAATAAATATATAAAAAAATATTTTTAAGCATATAAATAAAAAATTAAAAATAATATTATCATGTTTTTTCAAATAACCAATTTCTTGTTATAATAAATTATTAAATTTTAATATATAATCTAACATTTATTAAATTCAATATATAAAATTGGAGTTTTAAAATTCAGATTAATATTTTTAAAATATTAATAATCTATATGAAGACATAATTAAATAAAAATACGAACAATTTTAACTTAAAAACAATAAAAATCAGAAAAGTAATAATAATTCAATAATGGCTAAAAATGAAGATTCATTTAAATAAATTCAATAAATCTAGTAATGATATATCTTATAATAAAAGAATTAAAGAAGTCAATTAAGATAAAAGTTAATTAAATAAAAGTTTTTAATTATAAAAACTTTTATAATATCCAAGTTAAAAAAATTATAAATTAAGATAAATATTTCTTTAAAAATTATTCAATATAAAAAGACAATAAAAATCAATAAAAATAAGACATGGATAATTACTTATAGAAAACTAATTTTTTAAATAAAAAGATTAAATAAATTAAAGTAAATTATTAAATTAATAAAAACATTATGGTTTAATGATTAACTATCAGTTTAGTTTTATATAAATTAAATTATAAACAAAATGTTATTTTATAATATATAAATATAGCAATACATAGTATAAAAGATATTAATTAAAATAAATTATGTATTTAAAATACATAATAATGACAATATTTTTATTATAATTAGACTTTAACTAATTTCATATATTCTCTATATAAATATTTTTCCATAATCCATATTAAGTTTTTTTATTAAATTTTTTATTATCCTAATTAAAATATTCATTTATTAATTAAGCAGTATCACTTAAACACATTTATACAAGCTTAGTAGTAACAGGCTTTTTTTTGTTAATGTTTTAAAATAATAAATTAATATATAAAATTATTAATATAATTTATACAGTAGAATGTTCCATTGAAGGACTACTATTAATTTCAATAAGCCATGTATTATAATTTTAATCAATCATAAAATCATATCCGAATATTTATAAAGTATTTTTTCTAGGCTAAATAGTATCTTTTCCACTTATAATAGAATTAATTATAATTTCAATCATTTTTTATTAAATTTTTGAAAAGAAAATATCTTATTCATTTTCTAGTTACTTAAAATAAAATAAAAATTAATATTTAAAAAATAAGATACATTAATATAATCAACAAATTCATTTTAAAACATCATAGTTTCATTTATTTTTTCTTCAAAATTAGCAGCGTTTTTCGAAATACAATTATTAGCTAAATGAGCAAATTTATTTTAAAGATCATCTATATTAAATTCATCAAAACAAATTCTTATATAACATTCTTCATAAAAATATATTACTAAGGGATTCCAATCTGTTACACAAGCCCATTATCTGATATCAAACTTTTTAATTTATTATAATATATAATTATTATTATATATAAAAGAATATATATATATATATATATATTTATTTATATAAATATATATTATTATTTTTTTTTTAACTTTAGTATAGAAATTACTTTTTTTTTGTTTATAGTTAAAGGATTTTCTATATATTTCTATGCTACCCATGTTACATCTCTCCCCATAACATAATTAACTAAATTTTATAATTAATCGAATGTTCTTATTCCTCTTCCTCTACTCAAACCTGCAGGTTTTACTATCCATAAATTTTTTTGGTTTAAATTATATTAAGGATCGTATTTTTCTAATATTTGAAGGTATTTTTTTGCTAATTATACTAACTAAAGATTTAGTTCTTCTTTTTCAAATTAAGAAACAGTATTTTTATGAATTTCATTGTATAAATCTTTATTTTTTTAGAAAAATTCTAAATTTTTATAATTATTATTAATAAAAAGCCATTCATTAGGATTAATAAACGGGAAATTATTTTTTAACTTTTTTATTTAAAAAATAAATATTAATAATTTAATTTTTTTTTTTAAAAAAAATACTATTTCTTAGATTTTATTTGAAACATTTAAACATTTTTTTTTTAAAGCTAAACATGAAATATAAACTTGAATTTATAAAAAGGCAAAAAAATCAGTTTTTTTAAATTCATCTTCAATATTAAATTAAATAAATTATTTTAAAATACTTTCTGCTTTGCAAAATTTAAATTCTTCCACAAAATCCTCGAATTCTTAAACATCTGTAATTTCAAAGCATTTTGGATAAAAAAGATTAAAATCAATGTCTTTTTAAGAAACTAGATTTTTTATATTTTTACTTAGCCCTTTTTTACTTGTTATATTATAATTTTTTTCAAAAAAATTTATTATTTGTTAATTCATTAAAGCCTCTCGATTTATTTCATTTTATTTAGTACTCCATTTTAAATCAAACATTTAATCTTCTTCTATATTTTTGTTTTCTATCCAACCCAGATTTATTAAAGATTCTCTAAGATCTTAATAAGGAGACCCTACTATCATAAAAACTTTCTAATTAGGTGAATATCCTTTACTTTTTTTCCATTCAATTAAATCTTAAGTAGTTATTTTTTATTCTTTGGTGAATTTTTAATCTTTTTTTTAATCTTCGTTTTCTTTTTCTAAATCTTTATATTCTTCGTCTTAGCAGGACATGTTTTCTTATATTTATTATATTATGTTTCTTGATTCATCTTTTTTTTTTTTTTTTTTAATTTTTTATTATTTTTACATCCTAAAGCTCGCATCATTAATGACTTTGGGAAATCAATATTTTCAGTAAATAAATATTTGGCTTTTGTTTAAACTATTTTTTCGAGTTTTTTTATTGCTTCTTCGAATTTTATAGGCTATTGCTTTTTATATTTATTTATTAAATGTATTTTTTAAATTTTTTTTTTAATTACTTTTTCAAATTACTTTATTTTTGTATTTAAATCTTTATAACTTTTCAAATACAGGAGATAGTATTTTTTTTTGCCTATTAAGGATGCTATATTACTTAATTTATATCTAAAATACATATTTATCTTTTTTAATGTTTCTTCTTAATTACTGTTAGTTTGCTCTTTTGAAATGTGTTTTTATTTAAAATATAATTCCAGATGTTATTATGGAGCTACTTTTTAGTTTGTATTTTATTAATATAGACATGTAATATTTTGAGATTGTCTTTATGGACAATCAATATTTGATTCCTTTTGTTATTAAAGATAGTTATTTTCTTTCATTATTTGTTCTTTTTTTAAAAAAAAACAAAAAGAAAATTATAAAAATAAATATTTTTTCTTTTTTTTCTCAAAAATTATTATTTTTTGTTTATTTGTTTTGATACTTTGTTTTAATTTATTTAAAAAAAAAAAAAATTATAAAATTTTATTTTTTTGTTTTTGGATTATTAATAATTTTAAAATTTATTAAATTAGTTTTAATTAAAATAATAATGTATTAATTACTTATTTTATTTTTTCTTCTTTTTTTTATTTACATATACTTCTTTAAATAATGTAAAATAAAATAAAAGATAATTATTTAAAAAAAAAATTATAATAATAATTAGAAAAGTATAATTTTATGTATTTTAAAAATAATTACTTTATAAAAAAATAATAATAATAATAATAATAATAATAAAAAAAAAAAAACTAATCTACATATAAAAATGAAAAGGTATATCAATATTTTAGCATCATCTCTTGGAGGTATATAAACTGGAATGACATTTCAACTATTTTTTATCTTATAATAAAAATTTCCATTATAAAATTAAGAATTTAATATATAAAGTGAATAATTTGATTTATAGATATACTTAAAAAAATTATTGATAGCAATATCAGGTTTAATAACATTATTAATAAGTCCATAAATGACCCCTAAAATACAAAAAATTCCATTTCTAATTTTTTCTGACTTTCTTTTAATTGCACATCTAATTATAATATATAAAATAGATATAGATTTATTTAACGATAAAATAATTAGTTATATTTCTTTAGTATTAATAAGTATTTCAGGTGCTTTAAGTTTATATGTAGTTCCTGTTTATTTAAGTGAATTGTAATTAAAAAATATGTAAAAAAAATAAAACTGTTTGAATTTTGGAGGTTTATTTTTTTTTATGTTTGGAGTTGGATATACTTTTTAGTTTATTTTTTACAATGAATAATTTTATATAGATAATAATACTTTTTATATGATATGTATAATATTTTTTTCTATAAAAGTTCTTATTTTAATAATAAATATAGAAATGGAATCTCCTTTATATTATTATTTAAATACTAGAGTTGATAAATTTGAATATATTATTCAAAAATATTATTAAAATATTAAACCTAATGTATTAATTAATGCTATTTAAACTGAATAGAAATGTTTAAGTCAGTTAAGTAATAATTTTTAAACTGATTTTTATAACCTATTAAATAAATATAATAATATTAATAATATTAATGCATCAATTGATTCTTATAATAATATCTATGTTAATTTTAATAAAAAAAAATATAATATTAGTATTTTAAAACTTTGTTTTTTATAAAGTATTGCTTTTTCATTTATTGTTAGTAGTTAATTTATGTTTGAAGACAGCTTTTTTTATATATAAGATTTGTTTGATTATAAAATAACTTTTTTAGTTTTATGTTCTTTTTATTTATTAAGTTTTTTTATTTGCTTGTTTATTGAGTAAGAAATTATTTGGATAAAATTCGGATATTCAGTTATTTTTATTCTTACATTGACAAACTTTATTTCTTTTAAATATATTCATAATGACCCGTTTTATTAAGATCATTTATAGTCTGGAAATTTAATCAGTTTTGTTCTTTTTGTTGGAAATAGTTCATTTTATCTTCCCAGTATTGTTTTGAAAGGAATTGGAATTAAAATAATAAATGTGTTTGTTTGGGTTTTTATTTTAGTTCATTAGTTTTTAATTATTTATTTATAAAATTTAGAATATTTTTATTATTATAATGCTATATTAGCTTTTTTTGGAGTTATTATAACATTTTGGGCTAAAGAAATTTAAACTAATATATGACGAATAATTTATTTATAATTGAAATTTATATTCTCAAATATTAATTCTTATATTTTTGAAAAAAAAAAAAAAATTGTAAATTTTTATAAGTTATTAGAAATTTTCTTTAAATTTTATATTAAAAATTTTTATTAATAAATAAAATAAATTACATTATATTTTTAAAAAATAGTATTATTATAATATTTTATTCAAAGCAATAATATTAAAATATATTATTAATATAAAAAATAAAAATATATTGAATAAAATTATAATATGCTATGTTGAATTAATAAAATTTAGAAAAATATTTATTTAGTGTTTAAACAAGTAGTTAATAAAAAATAAATTACCAATATGGTATAAATTAGCAATATTTTACAAATTCATTATATAAAAGAATAAAGTAAAAATATTTTTAATTTTTAAAGATATAATTATTTAATGGGATAACATAATAAAATAATTATTTAATATTTTTTTACCAAATTAAGAAAAAAGCAAATTAAAAATAAACTTGTGTATTTATACTATATTTTTAATAATAGAATTGTTTGCTTTTTAATAATAATAAAAATAAATAAAAAACTGATTATTTTAAAAATTTATGAAATTAATAAGTAAAATAAATTTAAGGGCATTTAATATTATATTTTTTATAAAAAAAGAAAAGATATATAAAAAAAGATTTAAATAAATAAAATAATTTAATAAAAATATCAAAGATATATTTTAAGTAAATAAATATATCTATATGAATCCAAGATAAATAACTCATGAAATAGCTATAAAAACTTATTTATAATATTATTATAAACTGAGAAAAAAAAATCAAAAAATTATATAAAAAAATGAAATGATTAAGTATCATATAATATATAACACTAAAAAAATAAAAAGAAAATAAAATAAAATAAAATAAGATTATATTAAATAAAAATAATTTAAAATAATTTTATTTTCGTTATACAAACAATTAATAGATTCTTATATTATTTTATAAGATAAAAATAAATTTGATAAGATATATGGATAATACCATTATAATATAGAAATTTTTATTTATTGATTGTATAAATAAATTAAAAATAAAATAATGATAATAATAATAAAAAAAATATGTATATATGTATATATATATTTATAAAAATATGTATATATATTTATATATTATTATTTTATCATTAATATGTATCTAAAAGAATATATTATTTTTAATTTAATTTTAATTCTTAAGATTAATAAAAAATACTTATGTATTTTTATTTAATTTTTAATAATTTTTTTTTTTTATTTTATTATTTTTTAAATTAAATTTGATATGAAAATTAAATATCTTTAAATTAAAAATAAATGTCTTAAAATTTTATATATTTAAAAAATTATATTATACTAAAAATGTTATATATATATTTATTTTTATATAAGATAAAATTATGTTATCTAATGTTTTTTTATTTTTTAATTTAAATGCTTAGTTTTTCAAATTTAGTAGGTAAATATTAAATTTTAGACTCTTTGTTAAACATTTTTATTATAAGAATATATTATTTTGATTTGAAGATAAAATAAATTTAATAAAAAAAAAAAATTGTTTCCTTTTTTTTATCTTTTAATATTTTAATTAATGAATTGACGTGAAAACAAAATAAAAGAGTTTTAAAGTAAAATAAAAATTATGAATAAAAAATTCAATAAAAAGTATAATAATATGATTATCTATATATAACTTATAATAAATAAAATAAAAATGTACAAAAAATTTATCTTAATAAAAAAAGATATATGAATTCTAGAAAATTCAAATAGAGAGAAGATTTTTTTTTTTTTCTTTTAATAATTTTTGATTAAGTAAATATATCTATTATATATTATAATAAATAATTAAAATTATAATAAAAAAAAATATTTTGCATAAATAAATATATATATATATATTTATATATATATATATGTATTTATTTATATTTTTTTTATATATGCATTTTTTATATATATATATATTTATTTAAGTTTAATTAAAAAACTGTTTAAAATCTATAATACAATTATTATTAATATAATCAACAAAAACTTAAAGGCATTTATTTTATCTGTTATCACTCTAGTTGTAAATGAAACACCCCCTAAATCAGCTTATGTAAAAGATGTAGGCATTCAAACTTTTAATTAATAGGCAAAACCTTCATTTTATTCAAAAACTCTTTAGTATATTTCGTATACCTACAAAGTCCTATATTTAAAACGCATAAAATTATTTCATTATGCTTAAATTTTTCAAAATCGTAATTATTAATTACTTAATTTTTTGATTAAAGTTGTCTTAATATCTAATTTTAGAATCTAAACTGACAATTTAACATATATCTAACATGCAAAGTATAATGTAATTTTTAATATTGAAGGTACTACAGTAGAAGAAGAATAATGAGAGAAATTATACTATATATTCCTAGTTTCTTAAAATATAGACTTAGTCCCAGTAAATAAATTAGCAAGACAGAGCATTTATTTTTAACAATAATGACCGATTTATTTGAATATGTGTATATATCCGTTATTTGAATTAAGGATAAAATTTATAAAGTAATTTAATTAGATATATAAATCGAGAACTATTTAAGGCCACTAAAGTATTATAAATTTAGTGTAACAATATATTGAAATATGAAAACTGTTGTTATTTTTGCACTTATATACATCTAAGTAAATTATTTAGGTAGAAGTTTAATTAAAGATGATTTTCAAAATTTAATGTTTAACGTAATAATAACATTTAAATAATATAAGGATATTTTTAAATATTTTAATTTTAAAGCTAAAGTTTTTTATAAAGGGAAGGCTTATATTTGATTATAATAATGATACTTTTTGGAGGATTTATATGATTTATTTAAATAGATTGATTTTGATAATTGTATATTGACATTTTATTATTTTTGTTTGTTTGTTGCATTTTTAACTTTTATTTATTTATATATGATAAACATTAAATTTTAATTAATTTTATTAAATATTATTTTTAATTTTTTGTATTTTTTTTTAAAAAGATAATCAATAAAATATATTTAATTAATAAAATAATTGTTTTTATTTAAATAAAAAATAATAATATAATTTATGTTTATATTTTTTATTATTATAAATTTCCCTTTATTATTTTATTTTTAAATAAAAAAAAAACAAAATAAAAATTTAAAAAATTTAAAAAATGAGTATAATCCAAGATCAAGCAATAATATAATAAATAAATTAGGTTTACCCTAATTTTACATACAACAAGCCTATTGGATTGGATGACTTTAGATGGATAATTAATTAATTATTAGAAAAAAAAGGAGTTTTCTAAAAATATGACGAGGACACTTTAAATGAGCTATACGACTAAACAACATAAGAATTCGGAAATTCCACAATGAATAATTTAATATAAATTATAGTTAAAGCTCAAAATGTTTTATTAAATAAAATTTCTACAGATTAAGAACAACTTTAATAATGTTATTATTATAAAGAAAATATTTAATAAATTCTATAATATCTATAATCAATGAAATATTCAAATGGATAAAATTTCTTATTTTTAGAATCTGTTTAAATCTAAAATCTAAATAATGTAGGACATTAAAGTGAAAAAGTAGTTAAAATATATATTAATGATTCTGAAGTTAATTAATATGTTTAATAAAGCGAAAATCCATAAATTTTAAATAAATAAGTAAATAATAAATATTTAAAAATATAATATATATATTTATATATTATATATATATTATATATATATATTATATTTATATTTATAAATATATTAGTATTCTTTAAATTATATCTAAAGTAAATTAATAATCGAAGTTTTAGAAAAAAGTTTACAAATAATTGGCTTTGCAGAATTTAGTCTAGATATTTTCCCATTTGACAAAATTTAAAAAATAACTTTAAATTTAGTAATAAATGATCCCATAATGTAAAGAAAATACCAAAATGATTTCCCGGTAATAATATCAGGTAGATTATTAATAAACAATCAAAATAACGCTCTTAGAGATTATAATTAAATATCTTAAAATATCGATAATGAAATTATAGAATGTGAATAAGGAATTTAATCTTCTAAAGAGTCTTTATATTTTGTTTAAATGCCTTTCTTATTATAAAATGAGCATTAGGCTTAAGCATAATAAACATTATAATAATAATAATTATTTAATAATAACGAATAAAGAATTCAATAATAATAACCTTTATAATAATAATAGAATTTTTCCATAACTTCTAAAGATAATTTATAAATAAATAAATCATATTAAAATGCACCTTCAGAATAAGTTTATAATCCTAATAAGTCATTAAATATATCTATGCACCAAGAACAATTAGTATAAATGGTAAACCCAAACAATGTTTAATCTAATATAGCTCGTATATAAGAAGAATAGAGACGTTTGGAAGAAGAAAAAAGACTTCGTGAGGAAAATGAATAAATACTAGGAAATTAAAAAGTAAAAAAAATGGGAAAATAAGCTCATTTATATTACGGGGAAGATGATAGTGATATTTTAGATGATTTATTTAGAAGGACAGATTATATTTTTGGTTTATTGATGATTTTAAGTATTACAGCTTGCTTGAAAAAAAGCGCTTATATAGATGTTTTTTTAGGAATGTATTTTTTTGTGAATTTGTATAAAATGAGACTAAGTAAAATAATTTAATTACCAAAAAATATTATGATTGGAGTAGCTTGTTCTTGTACTTTTGATCTAGCTTGGTTTATTGTTTATGTTGGAAATTGGTTTAATGCAGAAACTAGTGATGATTAAGGTAGTTAAAGATTTGTAAGGGGATTTGTAATTGTATTAACCTTTATTATTTTCATAGTTAAAATTTTACTTATTTATAGTCTAATATTACTTTAGAAAGATAGAAAAAATATAATAAATTTAGAAAATATATTTATATAAAATATAGACTAAATTTGTTTAGATAAAGTTGATGATGAAAAAATAAAAAAAGGATTATAGTAAGATTAAAAAGGTTATTAAGATAATATTGAAAAATAGTATAAATATTAATAATAATAATAATAATAATAATAATAATAATAATAATAATATTAAACATTTATGTGAATTTTTTGATAATACAATTATAAATTTAATATATTTTTTATTTATATATTTTCGTTTCTTTTCTTTTATTTTATTTTATTATATATTTTTAAAATACCAAAAAAATTTAATTTTTTATATAATTTTTTTATTCATAAATAATCAATTAAATTATTTTTTTTTCTTTAATTAAAATAATTTATATAAAATTTTATACTATTTTTTCCTTGTAAGAAAAAATATTTTATAAAATTAATATTTATATTTAATAATATATAAATTCTATAAAAATTATAAAAAAAAAAAATTATAAATAAAAAAAAATTTCTTATAAATATGGATTTATCTTAAAAATAATAATAATTTATTCTATAAAGTTAAGAAAACATTATATTCAAAATAGATTATAATCTTTTTTTAAAATATTCAAAACTTGCGTTAGATTAACTATAATATATGGATTTAGAAGGTAATATATATAATATTTAAAAATTATATAAATAAATATATAATTATATATTTTAATTTATAAATATATTTAATTTATCATAAATAATATTTTTTTTTATATATTATTTTTTTAATGAAGAGCCTTTTTAAACTAACTTATTAGCAGATTAATTATAATAGTTAATAAATTATATAGAATAAAAGGGTATAGACTATTAATTTTAAAAAATTGAAAAACCCTTATTATCAAATAACATAAAATAATATTTAGATGATTTTGATTATCAATTTTTAATTAGTTTAGATGAAAATTAATTATTTTTATTTTTAAAATCGGCTTAATATTTTAATATTGAACATATATAAGATATTATTTATGCATATATAGCTGCACAATTTATAGGCATAATCTATTAAAAACATTATACATATATTTATATTATTTATTAAATAAATACATTTTATAAAATAGATTCTGATATTAATTAAATTAAAATAAAATATGGTATTAGCGCTGAATTAAATGAATAATTTATAGAATAAGCTAAAAATGAATACCCTGAATTATTTGATGGTAGAGATTTTTAATTTTGAACATTAATATATAAAATAATTTTTTTAAATAAATTAATTATTAAAAAAAAGATAGAATAACATTATTAAAAAAAAATTATTATTGTTATTTATTTATGTATTTTATTAGAAATTTAATAATATGTGCTTATTTTTATTAATATTATTGTGTTTTATATATAAAACTTTTATTTTCTAAAATATTTTTTTTTTTTTAAAATGTATTTAATTTATAAATAAAAAATATTTTCTATAAATAATTTAAATTTTAAAATTTTTTTATATTATTTTTTAATTAAAAAGATTTTTTTTTATTAAAAAAAAAAACTAAAATATTATTAAATTAATATTTTTTTATCTTTATTTTCATTAATCTATTCTTGCCTATATAGAATTCATGCCAACAAGCATTTTTGCTTTTTTTTATTTAGTTAAAGATAAATAATATATGTAATCATTTAATTCCATTTAATTGAATTCATTTTACTTTAAAAATAAATAATAATTTAATTAATTTATATATAATAAAAAAATTATACTTATTAAGCATTTAAATAAACTTAAGTTTCAGCTTCAATAACACTTTTTGTAGCTTTACTCTTTTATTTTATTTTATTTTTTTTAAAAAAAGAAAATAAATAATAATATTTTCATATATAAATGTACATCTGCTTCTTTTAAAATCTTATATTATTCTGCTTATGCTTCAGCATTTATTGTTTTTATTTATCGTTCAGTTTCTGATTTGAGAACTTCGATTTCTTTCATTATTCTAATAGCTTCTTATTCGAATTATTTCATTCTTTTATTTTGCATTTCAACCTTTTCTTTTTCGCAAAAATTTAATAAAAAAATTAATAATGTAAATAAAATAATAAATTAAAAAACAAACCTATGTATTAACAATAGATACATCAAAAGTATCAGGCAAATTAACTCTTAAAATTTAAAAAAAAACGCAATGTGCAAATGCTTTTTATAATTCTTTATTTAATTCTTCTTATAGTTTTAATCCTATATCTTTTCTTTTCTACCAATATTAAGGAGCTTCATAAGTACTTGCTATTTAAACTATTGTATCTCTTGCTATTCTTGTAAAAGTTCTTTCATATTCTAAATTATTCATTCCATATAATTTAGGAATTTAATTTCTTTAATTTATATATAGATATGTATATATCTATATATATTATTTGTACTTTATTAATTTATATTAAAACGATAAAAATAATTCTAACGAAAGACCTTCAGCTGTTCGTGTTTTTAAAGGTTAATTAGCCCTTTTACCACCCGTAAATTATATTGTTTGTAATTAAGCTGGGAATTATATAAAATAATAAAAAGGCCATATCCAATGACGTCCAGATTCATATACACTATTAGAACAAGCTTTTGTTAATGAGTTACATAGAAGACCATATTATGTTACTTCTACAGTATCCCAAGATATAAATAATAAAATAATAAAAAATATAATTCCTGTTATTATTAGACAATTATTCAACTTTTTTTAAAATTCACCTCGATTTTATTCGTTAATCATATTATAATTTTTTTCTCTTTTTTTATATTTTTATTAGTTTGTTTTTATATTAAAGATTATTAAATATTTTTTTTTATTTATAATTATTAATCTTTTTTTATTAATAATATGATTGTGTATAAAATATGTTTATTTTATTTATATTATAGAAAAAATATAAATAGTTGTTTTTTTTAAATATAAACATTAAAAAAAATTAATTATATATATATATATATATATATATATATATATAATTTATATTATATAAATATTTATTTATTTATATATATTATCAAAAATATAAATTATTATTTTTTATTAAATAATATATATAGTTCATTAAAAAAAAATTATTCTATAAAGTTTTTTATTTTATTTTTAAATGAAACAAAATCAAAATCACTAAAGCATTTTTCCTTTTTAATATCAACCAATATTTTTAAATTAAGACATAAACGAAATAAAATATTAATAAATAAAAACCTAACCATAAAACATCGACTCATTTACAGCTTCAATTCTAGACGAAGGAATTTCCTAAAGTTAAAATCATTTACCAGAAAGTAAACATGTTTTAGCTTCAAAATTAAAATCGAGTTAACCGAATAGTTTAAATGAATCTCTTTATTAATAATTAAAGCAAATAAAATAAAAGAATTTTTTATAATAACAATAAATTAACAAAGAATAAATATAAGATTAAAATTAATTTATGTTAATAAATAAAGATACAGGTTTGTTTTTTTCTTATATAAAAAATATAAATATGATAATATATAGGAGAAATAATTGATATAAGATAATTAGATTAAAACCAAATTATAAATAAAAACATTCCTATATAAAATTCTTAATTTACATAAAGTAGTGATTTTTTATTATTCGCTAAAATCAACAAACACGATAAATGTATTGAATATTTAAACAAAAAAGGTTTCGATATAAACATAAAAGATAACGAAAACGGTCAAACAGCCCTCCATTATGCTAGTTAAAATGGAAATACGAAATTTGTATCTTAATTATTATATTTAGAGGCTATAATAGATATATAAAATAATCAAAACTAAACTCCATTAATATTATCTTGTATATAGTAAAAGATAAAAAAAATAAAAAAATAATTATTATTTTAAAAAATTAAATTAATAGTGGAAATGCTGATGTTTTATAAATCTTAATAACTGCAGGAGCTGATATAAATAGTTTTGATAAAGAATTTAATACTGGTTTACATTATGCTTGTTTAAATGGCAATAAAAAAATAATTGAGGTTTTGTTAAAAAAGCCTAGTATTTAATATAATTCAAAGAATAAAAATAAACAAGAAGCAATTGATTTGTGTAAAGATAAGGATACTTTAAATGTTTTTTAAACTTATCTTTAATTATAATAAGGTTTAGAGTAAAAAGATACTAAAGTCAAAATTTATAATACTTTTTAAAAAGATGAAAATTGTTCTTCCAGTGGAGAAGATGAAAAAATCGGACCAAACAATTTCATAGTTCATGGGCTTATAGGTAAAGGATCCTTTGGGGAAGTTTATTTAGTGGAAAAAAAGGAAAATTAATAACTATATGCCATGAAAGTATTACATAAATGTAAAGTTTTGAGATAGAATTTGACTAAATATGCTATGACAGAACGAAATGTACTTTCTGTGACTAAGCATCCATTTATAGTGAGATTAAATTATGCTTTTTAGACTTAAGATAAGCTTTTTTTAATATTGAAGTATTGTCCAGGTGGAGATTTAGGTGAGCATTTATAAAAGGAAAAGAAATTTTAAGAAGAAAGAGTAAGATTTTATTTGTGTGAAATAATCTTAGCATTAGAACATTTACATAAAAAAGACGTAATTTTTAGAGACCTTAAACCAGATAACATTGTAATTGACCATGAAGGACATGCTATGCTAACCGATTTTGGATTATCTAAAGAAGGTATATATATATATATTATTATATTTATAATTTTTTTTATTTATATTTTATTTCATTTTAGGAGTTTTAGACAATAATTCTGGGGCTAGATCTTTTTGTGGAAGTATAGCTTATTTAGCGCCTGAAATGCTTAAGAGATGTGGGTATGGTAAAGCTGTTGATTGGTATTTATTAGGTGTTGTTATGTATGAGTTACTAGTTGGTACTCCTCCCTATTATGCAAATAATAGGTATTTTTTTTTTTAATATTTAATCTTGAATTATAATTTCAAATTTTTATTTTTTATTTTAATAAAAGAGAAGAATTATTTTAAAATATAGAAAAAGGAAGTTTAAAATTACCTTCTTATATATCAAGTGATGCTTAATCATTATTGAAAGCAGTAAGTAAAAAATTAAAATTTTTATTGATATTTATAGATTTTTTAATGTAAATTAATTTACTAAACTTATTATATTAATAAAAAAAAGCTACTTTAAAGAAACCCTTTAAAAAGATTAGGATCAGGTAAAGGTGATAGTGAAGAAATAAAAGCTCACCCATTTTTTAGTAAAATAAATTGGGAAGAAGTTGAAAAAAGGTAATAATTTTTATTTTATAATTTAATATTTTTTGTTTGTTTATTAAAAAAAAAAAATATCAGTTTTTTGTTATAAATATATTTATTATAATTTTATTTTTTAGAAAATTAATTATGTAAATACCTAATAGAAAAATAAGAATAAGTACAAAATTTGATCCTAATGTTTTCGAAAATTCTAACTTTATTGAAAGTTTTAAAGAATATATACCAGGATGGTCATTTGTAGATTCTACAGCAGATATAAACTTTTCTTAAACAAAATTTTATTGATTAAAAAATCTTGTTATAAAAAAATCTTTATTTTTTAATAAAAATATATAGTTTTAATATTTTATGTATAACTTTTACAAACAAATATACTTAAAATTATATATGTAAAAATAAAAAATAAATTAAAATATATATATTTATATATTTAAATATATATGTAATATACATTAGTTATATTTTTAAAATTAAACTAATATTATATATAACATAAAACTTTTAGTTAACAATAATAATTTATAAGATTTTTTTTTTTTTTAATATTATAAATATAAATTTAATATATCTTTTATTTAAAAAAATTATAATTAGAAAAATCTATAAAAATGTTTAAAAAATTAATTTCCTTATTTATCTTCATAATAATTTTATCTTAAATATCCTCTATGTAAAAACAACTAAATTATGAATTTTTATAAAAAATAAAAATAAAAGTGCGGCATAAGATTAAAATAAAGAATAATATTAAGAAGAAAAACCTGTTGACATAAATTAAGAAAAATAAAATAATAATGATGATAGTAAATAAAAATAAATTTTGGAAGAAAAATAAGATAACGAAAAAGACTAATTAGAAAAAAACAAATAATAATAAACAGGAAATACTGAAAATGAATAAACATAATAAGATCAAAAAGACAATAATAACGAAGATAAAAATTAAGATTAAAAAATAACAATGAAGAAAATATAAAAGAAGATGTCAAATAAGAACATGAAGTGAAAGATTAAAATATTGATACAGTAAATTAAGATGATAATATAAATAATGAAAAAGAATAATAAATATAATAAGAAGATCTAGATAATAATATTTCTAACACTTTAATAAATTAATGGGAATAACATATGTAAGATTTTGTTCCTGATGACATGCTTACATTTTCATTATAGAATTATTCTGAAGAAGTAAAAAAAATATTCTTTTTGTTTTGTTTTGTTTAAATAAAATATAATAAATAGATTTTTGTCGAAGATGTACTTGCCCCAACATAATTAAGAGGAGCTTATTTTGTTGCGTATAATTCAGAAGAAAATATTAACTTTTTTGTATACTTTTTTTTTTTAAAAAAAATAAATAAATAAATTATTTTATCATTTTTTTTTATATATATATAGATAAGAGATCCTTAAAAAAAGTTGTTTTTACTAAACTAAATACTAGGGAAGGTATCTTTATTATTGATGCTGTTTAAGGGGAATACTAATTTATTTTTTCTAATTTAAAAGTAATTAGTTTTTTATTATTATAATATGATTTCTTTATTTAAATAAAAATAGGGCTCTGAAAAAAAATCTATCACATTTACTTTAGATGTTACAAATAATGAAGAATCTCATTTAAAACATGAACATTTAGACCCAGTAGATAAAATATTAGAACATGTAATTTAAGGTATTAAGACTTATTTGAATGAATAAAGATTTTATTCTAAAAGATAATAAAGTTAACTTGAATCAGTAATGTAGGCTCATAATAAATTACTTACTTTTTCTGTTTTGGAAAATTTAATTGTTATTTTGGCTTCTATTTGGCAAATTTATTATATTAAAAAAATTTTAGATAATAAAAGAATAGTTTGAAAAAATTAATTTTATTAATTTTTTTTTTAAAAAAAAACATAAATATAACTTATTTTTATGGATATTTTTTTTATATTTTTTTAATAAAAAATCATTAAAAATTAAAAAAAAGAACATTATTTATTTTTTATTTAGTTTTTATTTTATTGATTGAGTTTTTTATTTAAAAATAAAAATAAAATAATAAAAATATAATAAATATATAATATAATTATCAAATAAAATTTCATTTTTTAAACAAAAATTTTTAAATTAATTAATAATATAATATTCATTTAAATAAAATATATTTTTTATAATCAATTTTATAATTATATTTAAAATTTTTTATTTTATTTTATTTTTAATATTTTAAATATAATTAATTATATTTAAAATTTTTATTTTATTTATATATTTAAAATAATAAAAAATCATATTTAATACTTATTTGAAAAAGATTTAAAAATAGAAGATAAAACAGACATAAATTCTAAAAAAGGATTAAAAAATAAAATAAAATATGAGCTTTTTATAGCAAAGGCATCATTTAAATAAAAAAATTCCCACAAAAAAAAACACTTAAATATATTAATAGTAATACATCCATAAATTTTAAGAAAAAGCTTATTACATATTAATAAAAACTAATGAAATACTTATATTATTAATTCATTATTTACTATATTGATAAATAGTGGTCAAATTAACTCAAAATTTTTATTTTTTATTATAATTGAATTGTTTATAAAAGAAAGAATATAAATCCCAAACAATGCTTTTAAATTTTAATTCGTTTTAAAATTTCCTACATTATTTGGTTTATATTTTTTTTTATTTGAGTTATATTTTTATTTATTATTTTATAAAAAAATAAATAATAATAAATATTTAAAAATTATATAAACGAAAAAAATGAAATACAACAAAAATCAAATTTAATATCCTCCTTCAATATCCGGTTATTTAAAAAACCCTTATTCTAAACCTTTATAAGTGAACATAAACAGCCCTGAAACAATACTCTTACCAATTTAATATTCTATCCCATAGAGTAGTTACCCACTTTCCGCCAATTACATCCTTCTAATAATATCAGTAGGTTTTCCATATTCAACCTAGAATTAAGTTCCAGTAACCATAAGATATCTTCTAATAGTATCAATGGGATAAGTAGTACATTAAGCAAATAAAGTAAGAGAAATACTCAAAGGAACTTATAAATACCATTAAGATAATCCCATATTGACTAATAAATCATATACACCATATTAAATACCCCTATATAAGAAACTTCCTATAATAGAAATGGAAAATCCTTAATAAAATTTATTTTCGTTATCAGTGCTCATTAAAGCTTTTAAAATTGTAGAATTTTTACTCAAAGAGGATCTATCTAAATCACACATCATTCTAGTTTTAGCAGTTTCTAATGGATATGCGATTGTTTCTATTAATAATGTGGAAATTCCGATTGCAAATAAATTTCTTATGGAATATCTTATTGGATTTTCAGATGGGTCATGCTTCCTTATTTTGGAATTTATATAACCACATAAAGTATAGAAAGTGAATTCTTTAGTAAAAAGTTTTAAAAGTTTAGCAGAAAATCCGCGGTAAAAATAACTGAGGTTTTTGTTTATTTTTTATTCTTGAATTAAGTAAGTTTTAATTGTTTCGGATTGTAGATATTCCCCAGTTTCGGAATATATTACGGGATATATTTATAATTGTAAATGTGTTTTAAGCCTTTCTAAAGGATATGTTAATGCTGAAGTTGCTAATATTCCTAAAATGCCATATTGATTTATTTAAGGAGTATAATATTTGTATTTATGATTCTATTCTGGAATGGTTTTTCGAAATTTTAATTAATATAATAATTCTGACATTTAAAAAAAGTTTTATTTATTTTTATATCTTTTATATTTTTATTTTTTTGAATAAAAATTAATAATATTTTATTAAATTAAAAATTATTATTATGTATTTATTTTTTTAAAAAAGCATTTAGAAAATATTGAAATTTTTTTATAAATAATATATATTTATTTCATTTGCTAAAATTAATTTCTTATTTATTTGTTATTATAATATGATATGTTTTTAAAAATTTAATTATTTTAAAAAAATTCATTGTATTTTTAATATATATATAAATATTAATTAATCATAGAAAAATATAATATTTTAAAATAATTATAATATATTAAATATATTTATAAATATTATTTATAATATAAATATATTAATATATATATATATATATATATATTATTAATATATATATTATTTTTTTTATATATATATATTTATACTTATAACTTATAAATAAATAAATAAAAAATTATTAATAACTTTTTATATTTTAAATATATAAAATTTTAAATTTTTCATTATATTTAAAAATAAAAAATCATAATTTTTTTATTTATATATTTATTTTATTTTTTTTATCTTAGTTTTATTTTTTATTTTATCATATTTTTAATAAATTAATTTATTATCATTTATTTCTTAGTAAAATTTTATAAATAATTTTTAGTTTCTATATAATTTTATATCGTTTTTTCTATCAATTTATTTTAATTTTTTTTTTTTTGATTTATATTTTTTTTTATTATTTTGATTTTTATTATTATAATATTCACAAATTAATTTATTATATTTTTTTAATACTTTAAATAATACTTATTAAATTTAAGTTAAGTTTTTAGTTTGCCAAAAATATTTAATTATTTTAATATTTTAAATATATTTATATTAATCTTTTTAATATTATTTTATAAAATTGTTTCATTTATTCTAAAGAAAACAACCTACTATATTTATTATTTTTCATTATCTTTTTATTTTAAGAATTTATCTTTTTTTTTTTTTCTAATAATATATGATTTAGAAATTATTAAAGATATATACATTTTTTTTTTTATCTAAATAGTCGATTCTCATAAAAAATAATCAAAATTATATAATTTATTTGAAGTTTTAATTTGATAAATAAATTCGCTAAAAATATTATATATATAAAATATTAATGATATTTTAAAAATATTTTTTTTTATAGCTGATGCTTATACGAATCATTATTTCAAATATCTTTTAATTAATATATTATTTTATATTTACCTTTAATTAGATAAATTATTATATACTTAATTTGTTAATTATATCTAAAATATTATTAATAATTTAATTTTTTTTTTTTTATCTTAATAATTTTTCTTTTAAATTAAAATATAAAATGATAAAAAAATATTAACTCAGTTTAAAATATATCATATTTTTCCCAACAATATATATATTTATACTATTTACTTTTAAATGAAACAAAAAATTATTTAAATAATTATTATAAATATATTTATATAAGAAATATAAAAATTATTAATAAATATTAAATTTACGGACTATACATATTACTTAAATTTTATTTTAAAAAAGAAAAATAGAAAATCCTAATAATTTTTTTTGATTTATATATTGATTAAATTAATTAATAAATATTTATAAATTTTTTTATTTTATTTAATTTTACTAATTTTTAATTAATTTATTTTTTAATATTAATTATAAATAAATATTTAATTAAAAAAAAAATTAATAATATAATAATTTTTTTAAATTATTTTAGTTTATAAATTTAATAATTTACAAAATTAAAAATAAATAAAGTTATTATTTCAAATAAATGTTTATATATATAATTTTATTTTATAAAAATTAATAAACTTTATATTGTTAAGTTAATTATTTTCAAATAATTCTAATATTATTAATTTTTATTAACATTAAAAATATATATATATCTATATATATATATATATATATAATATTTAATTAATTTTAGTAACGTCTTATATCTACATTAATTAATTATAAAAATAAATAAAATATTATTTTATTTTAAAATATATAATATATTTAAAGTGCTACAAAATATGATATTTTTTAAACTATTACAAATAATATTTGTATATCAAGAAAGTTTATTTATTATAATATATATATATATATATATATATATATATATATATATTTTAATTTAATATATTTTTCATTATAATTATTTTGTATTTATTATTTCTCTTAAAGATTTTCGAATTTTATTTGTTTTAAAATAATATTATTTATTTGCTTCTTATAATGTTTAATTTTTTTGGCTTGTTTATTTACTTATAATGTTCATATTCCTTCCAAATTTTATTCTTTTTTATTATTTGAAATATATTTATTTTTTATTCTTATTTTTTTTAAACAAAAAATAAAATAAAAATATACTGTTTAGAAGTTTCAAATATTTCTTTCATTTCTTTTCCTAAAAAATCAATTAACTTTTAATTAATTCTAAATTTATAAATAAATATAATTAAATAAACAATATAAACAATAATAATTAAAATATATTAATAAAATATTACATATTATTATTTTTCTCACGAATAATTTCATAAGCTTCATAAAGTTTTTAATAATCATTTACATTACTATATTTATTTTTTCTAATTCCTCTCAAAAATTTCTAAGCTGCTTAAACTACTAAAGTTGATTCTTTGATTCTAATTTTTTTATTTTTTATTTATTTTTTATTATTTTTCTATAAAAACTAAGCACTTAAATTTAACATATTATTTGAAGGATTTAACTTTTAATTATCAAAATTATCTTTAATTATTGGCTTTGGGAAAAAATTGAATAAAATTTACTATTCTTTATCTAAAAAAAGTTGTTTTAATTTTTCTATTTCTTTTAATTTATCCAATATATAACATATATCTAAATCTTAACATACATTTTTAGCTGCTATATCTATTAATCTAACCATTTTAGTATTAAAAAGTTTCCCGCAAGTAATTTTATGTAAAAAATATTAGATTTATAGTTAAATTTTCTTCTTTCTTTTCACTATATATTCGAATTCTTTCGCAAGAAATTACTTTCGGTTTCTAAAGCCTAAGTCTTCAGAATTATTATTTATTTTATCTTCCTTTTTTGTCGTTTTATTAATAAATTCTGATTTTTTATATTGATTATAATTTTCTATTGGTTATTTAATGAAACATTGATTTTATTTATATAATTCTTAATAATTTAAAATATTAATGTTTTCATTTCTAGGACTTGATAAGAAACAATTATTAATGTCTAAATTCGACTTGAAATTTTAATAAAAAGGCTTTATATTTTATTGAGTATTATTACTATTATTATTTTTATCTTCTTTTGTTTATTATTTTGAGTATATGTTTGGGCAATTTTAATTTATTTTGTGTTAATATTTTCTTTAATATATTATTTATTTTATATAATTTAAAGGAAGTAAGCCTTGATCTTCTCTATTTATTATTTATTAATTTTTAATTTCATTTTTTTCACTTTTTATAGGACTTATTTCTTCTAATTTTTTAGATGTCAATGATTATTAGGGAATTATTATTTTTTTATTTTTTTTAACTTTTTTATGGTTTATATCATCGTCTTAAAAATCAAAATCATATAATTTATTTGAGAGTTCAATTTAATATATAAATTCATTAAAATAATTTACTATTTTTTTACTTAAATATATTATATTTATTATTTTTTAAAAACCAATTATAGATGATACTAATAAAAAAAATTATGCAAATCCTCCTATATAAGATATTATTTCATCAATTTTTTCATATTTACGATCAATAATACTACTTATAAGAGTTCTACGAAAATTCAAATCTGCATATATTATATCTTAAGGATTTGCTAAATTATATTATTCTCTAAAGTTATTTTGTTAATAAGCTACAAATTTATTGTTAGTAAAGTTTGGTATAGGAAGTAAACTATCATCATTTGTTATATCATATTAAGTTAAATAAACATCAATTTTTTTATATATCTTTTATTTATTTGTTTTATATTTAAAAAAAAATAATAATAAACTTATTAAAAAATTTATATATATACTGAATATGGTTAGATTTAAAATACTAAATCTGTACTTAAATAACTTTAAATATAATTTTATGCTTTATCTGGATTTACTATGATGTTATAAAAATACATATTAAATTTTATATTATTTGAATTTATATATTATAATTATTCTTCATTAGAAGAACATGCTGTTTCAAAATCTTATGTATCAGAATGCGTATTATTTTAGCATTTTTATATATATAATTTAAAATAATGAAAATCATCACTTTTATAAGTACCTCCTATACTATATAATTAGTCAATTCTTTTTTATTTTATTTTAATTTAATTTTTTTTATTTATTTTTTAAAAAACTTTGGACATAAAAATTTATCTAATTATGACTTCTAAAATATTTCTTCCCAATCTTAACCAAAATTTGGAAAATTCATCCAGTGGTCTAATCTACAAGGTTCTAATTACGCATATTACTTTTAATAAATTATATAAGTATTCTTTTTTTTTATTTATTTATTTTTTACTCTAATTTTTTATGTAGTCCCGTTTATATAATTAATATTATGTGATAATCGAAAAGTTACGTTAAAATGAGGCCTTTTTAAAAAATTATCATGTTCAATTTTAACTGCAAACATAAAATTTTTTGATGTTAAATCTATTTTTTCTGGATCATGTTCAAATAGTTAAGAAACTTAAACCTTTACAGAGTCTTTTTTTAAATAATATTATATTTTTATGAAAGTATTTTTATAATAAAAATAAAAAGAAATTAGATTATTTTTTTTATTTGTTTCAAAAAAAACAAAATAATACCTCTGTTTAAAAATGAATAGACCTTTGATAATTAGATTATATATTTATTTAAAATATTGTATTATTTTTATATAAATTTACATTTCCCCAAAAAAATATTCCTAATAATACTAACATTACTAAACTTATACTTCCTCCAAAAGATGTTTTAAATGAATTTTATTACGCAAAATTTAAACCTATAGTACTCCCAAAAAAATCGAAATATTAAAAACGTTTTATTATTTTATTTAACATATTTTATATAATATATTATATTATGTTTTTTTTTATTTTGATTAACAAATTGAGATAATATTTAATTTTCTATGATTATTTTTAGATTATTTTATATTCTTTTTTCTCTTTATAACGATTTAAAAATATATTTATAAATATTTACTCTTTTTAAGTATTAGAGAAATATTAAAATTAATAAAAATTTTATATCAGAATTAATATTTTATTATCTTTTTTTTTATTTTTTTCTTCTATATTTATACACATTAATTTTGATTTATTTTGTTTTTATTTTATTTAATATAAATTTTACTAATTAATTTTTTTCTATTTTATTTTTTATTTAGATTAAAATATATTTTATTTATATTTAATTTTTTTTAAAATAATAAAATAAGAAAAATAAAAATCAAATATTTTCTATAAAATTAATATTTAAAGATAAAACTAAAGGTAATAAAAAATAGAATTTTTTATATTTCTTTATATATTTTATATTATAAAGAGAAATAATATATATATTCATATAAAAAGCTAAATTATATATAAAAATTTATAATAAAAAATGTTGCTTTTTTGGATTATATTTTTTTTAAAATAAAATGTATTATAAATAAGATTTTCTATAATAATGAAGTTTCTTTTTTTACAATTTATAATAAGAATAAATAAAATAATAGTTAATAAAAAATAATTTTGAAATAATATATTTATAAATCTAAAATAAATAATAAAATAATATGTTCTTTTAGATATTAAATAAAATTTATCGAATTTTTATAATAATTACTTTATATAAAAATTATAAATGTATAAACATTCAATAAAACGATATCTCTTAATTTAAAGTTCAACTTTATCATACTAATTTTGGATATATTATGATTTTGTTTTTTATTATTAAAAAGCTTTTATAAGGAAAATAATACTCATAACATTTAAAAAATAATAATAAAATAAAATATTAATTAAAGTTTTAGAAAATTAAATAAAAATTTTAGTGTATAATTATTATAAGTTTTAAATAAATTATAAAAGAATACTAAGAAAAAAGCTTTTAGTTAGAAATAAAGTCTAATGATTCTTCAAAATTGAAACATAATAAAAAAGGATGAATAAAAAAAGTAATAAAGTTAATAAATTTTCTATAAATATTAATTTGATTAAGAATATTTTTAAAATAATTTTAAAAACATGTTTTATATTATTATAATCATAACGAGACTTTAATTTAAAAATTAATTCTGAGTATTCTTATGAATCCATTAATAGACCTACTTATAAACGTGCAAAAAAAAATTAAGACTTAAAAAATATATTAATATAAAATAAATATAGTTACATGTAAAATGAAAATATTATTTAAATACTATAAAAATAGTTATATTAATAATGTTTTTTTATAAGATAAAAATATGACTTTCATGATAATAAAAACTAATTATATATATAAATTATTAATAAATTAAATACAATTATATAATATAATATAATTATAAAATAAATGTTTTCTTTATATATATTTTATTATATTATTTTCAACAATAATTTATATTAAAATAAAAAATAATTAATTAATTTATAATAAATTTGCAAAATAATAATAAATATATTTTTATTTTATTTTTATAAAAAAAATATTAATATTAATATTAATTTAATTTATATTATAAGTTTCATTAAAAAAAAATATGAGCCAAAAATGTTTATAGTAAGGTATAAATATTTTTTTTTTTTTTTTTTTTTAAAAAAAATCAATTTAAAATAAATACCACTTAGATGACTTATAAATCTTAAATAGATAGCCACAAAATATTAACGATTTGGAAGAATATATAGAAGTTATATTTGAACATTAATTAAACTGTGAAAAACAAGGTAAATATGTAGAAGCTGAAATGGCAAAAAATAAAGTTAAATAATTAAAAATTGATTTAGAAAAAAAAAAGAAAGTAGAAATAAAAAATAAACATATAAATGAAAAGTTAGGAATAGAAAAAGCACATCTTGACGAATTTAATTAATTTAATGCTTTTTGGGATTAAAAATTAATGAGTTTAATGAAGAAGCAAACAAAATCGAATATGAATTAATATAAAGATAATAATAAGAATATATTTAAGTAAAAGAAGAACTTTAAAAAGTTATTCCTTAATAACCTAAATAATCATCTGAAATATTAAATTTGCTGAAAATAGAATAAAATTTAGCAAAATAAAAAAGTAATTTTTTTAAAAGGAAAAATAAAATAAAAAAATTGTTAAAAAATATTTTAAACATATTTATTTATGTAATATTTTAAATAAAATTGTTTGAAAATTTTAATCTTTTTAATATTTTTTGAAATAAAAATATAAGTATCAAAAATAATAAAATTTTAATTAAAATAAAATATTTATTTTTTATTTAATTTTAAATAGTTATGTTGAGGCACATATAGTGTAATACAAAAAAACTATTTGGAAAATAAGAAAAATAGTAATGGTTACATACTCGAGAATCAAAAATAAAAATTAATTGAATTAATTAAAAACTAAATAAAACAATGAATTAAATGCATTAAAATAAAGAATAACTGCAGGATAGGATGAATAACGTAAAAATAGATCTATAGAATTAGAAATATTACTTTAAAAATATTAAAATGTAAAAAAAGAACTAGAAATTTAATAATAAATGGAAACAAATCAATTTTAAAAACAATTGAAAAATAAACAAAATAGTAAATTATAATAATATATTAATATATAAATTAATGTATATACTATTTAAAAAAGTAGTATTAGTAGAAAATAATTAATAAAGTAGATCACGTTCCATTAAAATTAAATGAATATATAGAATATCTCAAAAATAAAATATAATAAATATTTATAATTAAAATAATAAATATATATATTTATAATATATATATATAAATATATAAATATTGTTTTAATTTGTAATGAATACAATTTATTATTTAAATTTTTATTTGTTTTTATTTTTACATATAAATAAAATATATAAAATATTTTCGTTATTTTTATATTTTATTTATTTATATATTTTAATTTTTAATTTTTTATTGTAATATATTTATTTTAATAAATATCTTTAATTTCTTTATTTTTTATATTTAAAATATTAATTTATATAATAATTATATTATTATAAATAATAAATAAAAATTTTAATATTTGTTTTGTTTTTGATATATTATAAATATTTAAATTTAATTTTTTATATTTTATAAAGCATATAATTATAAATATGGAAATTATAAGTACTTATATTTAAATATTTTTTCAAATTATAAGGATTTAAAAATTATAAGGATATAAAAATTATAAATTTAAATTAAAATCAATTCTAATTAAAATATTTATAAACAATTGCTTTCATTTATATTTAAAATTTTTAAATTATGAAAATATAAAAATTATAATAAATAGTCAATTTTTTGAATATAAAAATTATATTAATATATATTTTATTTTTATTTTTCTTTTATTTTTTTAAAAACTATTTATATTAAATATTAATAAATAATTTATAGTTAAATTTTTTATTTTTTAATAATTTTTAATCATTTTATATTTTTAATTATATAAATATATTTTTTATTGTTATTTGATTTCTTTTTTTCTAATATTATTATAGTAAAAAATAAATATTAGTTTTTATTTATAATCATAATTCTTATATATTATCTTTAAATGTATAATTTAGTAAATAAACTAAAAATTTTTTAATTTTATATTTTTTATTTTATTATTTTATTATTTTATTTTCATAGCTTATTAAATATAATAAGCCTTTAATAAAATTTTAATTTTTTTATCAAATTTAAATATAACAAAATTATGTTAAACTTATTTATTCTAACAATAAATAAAAATTATTGTAATTTTGAATATTATATTAATCAATAAAATAAAAGTTAAAGTCTTCAATACATGTAAATGAAAATATTGTTTTTGAGGTTTTGTCGAGTGTAAAAAAATGATTGAGAGAAATTAAACATAAGCTCAATTTTAATTATATTTTATAAAATTATTATTTAATTTTTATTAAATTCTATATTTTTTAATAAATATAATAAAATATTTAAAATAAAAATTATAATAATTAATTTATATAATTTTTTATTACTTTAAGCTGTTTATAAGTAAATAATTAAATATTTAAACATTTAATATTAATTATTTATTTATTTATTCTTATTATTATTAATAAAATAATAACAGCAAATTTATACTTTACATAAAATAAAATTAAAGCTTCATTAGTATTTTTGTTTTTCAAAATGATTTAAATGCTGATTATATTTTAATTAATCTAATATAAAAATTTAAAATTCGAAAAATTTATAGACTTTTGTAAATGTTTAAAAGCTCAAAATTTAATAATCTATTTTGTTTAATGGATATGGATTTATTTGTTAATTTTCATTTTGAATTTAGTTAATGCTTTCAAATTTTTTTCTATGCTAGTGATTAATAAACATAATGAATTTTGCTTATTAATAAAATTTTGGAAAAATATAAATTTATTTATGTAAATTATTGTTCTAAGTATATATATATATTATAAAATAATTAATATTATTTTTAAATTATAATTAAAAATTCTAATTTAATAAAATATTTTGTATTAAAAAATCAAATATTATAAAATTAATAAATTTGTATATTAAAAAATTAATTATAATATTTATATTATTATTATTATTATTTAATATTTATTTAATATTATATTTTTTTTATTTATTTAAATTAAAAATTATAAATATATCAAAAAATATTTATTTTAATATAGTAATATTCTTTCTAATTATAAATATATGCATTTTAAAGCAAATAAAAATAATTTTATATTATTTTAAAAATAATATAAATGTAATAATAATAAAATTCTCAAGAAAAGCCTATAAACTAAAAAAAGCAATATTAAAATACTAGAATTTCAAAAAAGTAATAAATTATTTACTGTTCTTCCTTATTAACTCTGGGAAGTGACCCAAAACAACAAATAAGAAGCGGATTTTATATTAGACAATTCAGGCATGTCATTTGTATATTTATCATTAAAATACCATGTATTAAGAGACAGATAATACTTAGAAAAAAAATTAAATTCTTTAAAATTAAATTAACAGGAATATTATTCAAAAACAAATAGAATTTTATTACTGCATTGTGATATTGATAATGATTAAAGTAAAGAAGAATTAATTAATATGCATTAAGTATGTGAATAATATGGCTTTAAAATTTTATGTGGATTTAGTTATTAAGAAATAGCTTCCTATTTATAAAATTTTATTAACTTTTCTAATAATATGTAGTTAGCGAAAAATTTATTTAAAAAAAATGAAATCTATGATATTATTGTGTATTTTTTTAATTTTAACTTTATTTTTTATATAAAAAATTATATAATGAGAACATATTATCTTTTTAAAAAAAATAATGATTTTTATTTTTTAAATTAAAAAAAAACAATAAATTTTTTTATTATTTTGTATTACGGAAAAAATAAAAAAATACAATACTATAAAATAAAAAAAAATCTATATATAAAAGCTTATATGTGATTAAGAAAAAATATTTAAATATAAATACTCAATTTTATGAATTTATAATAAGTTAAAAAGAAAACAAAATTATTAAATGGAAAAGTAGTCTATATAATTTTTTTAATGCAATACCCAAAATTTTATAGAATTAATCAAAAAAAAAGTACTTTTTAAACTACTTTAAAGACACCAAAATCAGTAATAAAAAAATTAATAATTTATTTAAACTAAGAATTGATATTTGTTAAAAAATAATATAAAATTTTCGCAATTTCTGAGTTAATTATCATAAAGAAACAAAGTATTTTCTTTGTTTGCTTTCAAATTTTGATAAAAGACTGAGTTTCCTGAATTAAAAAACTTCTTTAAATTAAATATAATCTTAATCAGGATAAAAAAAATCAATATAATGTCATTTTAATTATTATAAAAATAAAATATAAAAATAAGTTTTATTACTTATTTGTAGAAGAATCAAATAATTAAATAAAATAATTTATTAATTACTAAAATGTAATAAATAAATAATAAAATTTATAATATAAAGTGCTTATAAGACTCTCTAAGAATAAAAGAGAGTTTAGCTTAAAAAGAAATTGTCTGAAAATTAATCACTGTGTTAAATTAAAAATAAAAATAAATAATTAAAGAAATCATCAAGTTTATAAATAATAAAAAATAAGTAAATCTTTTATAAATTATTAATATAATTTTTTATAGTAATAATAAAATAATATTTAATTTAAATAAATTATATAATATAATAATTAAAAATATTTAGATTCAAAATAGCTTTTTAAATATAATAATATTTTATTTATTTATTTTATTAAAAAGATTAATTTATTTAAATGTCTGATTAATAAGATTAAATAATTACATAAAAAAATTATAAAATAAAATTTTATATTATTATATGTATATATAATAATATAAGAAGTTTTTTTATATTTATTAATTAAATATTTTACTTTTTTAAAATAAAAAAAATTAAAATGAATTTTCATAGTTTTGTTAAAAAAACATCGAAAAATGATTTATAAAATCCATTATAAGTTAATTTAGATATAGAAAAAATAGATAATTATTCATTATATTTAAAAAATAAAGATTATTATACTTTTAATACAATAAAAAATTCAATTTTAATTTATACAGCTTCATTTATAATACGTTCATTCGCATTAAAACCTTTTATGCGCACTTTTTAATTAAAAAAATGGGATCTTATATTTCCTTTAATTTATTTAAGAATGAATTCTTAGGATTTAAAAAAATAATATGAAGTAAGAAATAACTTAGAAGCTATTTATGAAAAAATAATTTAATAAATGAATTAAGAATAAGAGTATCAACAATATTTAATAGAATATAATATGAAGTTTTGGTCAAATAGTCAATATTGGCATTGAAAATATATAATATTTTTTTATGCGAAATATATCATATTTATAAATTAAATATTTTCAAAAATAAATAAAATATTTTGAACATAAAAAATTAATATATTTTTTATATATATATATATTACTTAAAACTGATGTTTTTTAATATGTTTGAAATAAAAATAAAAAAACATCAGTATAAATAATATATAAAGAGATTTTATTTATCAAAATTAAATAATTTTTTTTTAATTATATAATTATATATTTTATTATGAAAAATAAAAAAAAAACTAAAAAAATAAAAAAATATCATAACATAAGATGCAATTCATTTCTATTAAAAGTAAATTATTTTCTATCAAACCCATCATCATCTTATAAAACAGGGAAAAAGGCACATAAAGCATCCTAACTTCCAACATATATCATATTATATAATTTCCAGTAAACATTTCTTACCTAAAAAATAAAATAAAAAATTATTATAAAAAAAAAATTTACTCTCTTAGCTGGATGATATAATCCTTATAATAAATAAAGCAAAATAATTCCTGGTCCTAGAGCTATTCTTAAAGCATCAATAGCTTCAGTAACAGCCGTAATGACATGAGGCGAATTTTCAAAAATATTTGGCCATATGAAATTAAGAAGGTGTATAAGACAATCTTCACATCCTAAATTTGCAACTCCCATAGCCAAATGTTTAACTGCCGAAGCAGCAGTTTATCTATGTACAGGATCTCTATCAGTTAAAGCATCCTCAAGCAAAGTAATAACTGAATAGATATAATTTTTAGCCATTTCTCCTATATATTCAAACATAAATGATAATGATTTAAGCACACCATTCTATACATTCAACTCTTATACCCTATATTCATTCATTAAAGCCGGTAAAATTGTAAATGGTCCACAAGTTTCAGCTACAATGGCAATTGCGACAGTCGTACAAACTCTCAATTATCTTTCTTATACTTTTAAATTATTTAAAAGAGTAACTAAAACATCCTATGGTCCTATAGCCTTTGCAATATAACCAAAAGTATTAACTGTAGCCCTTCTAATTCCCTTTTTGTGAGCTTTTAATAAATCTAATAGATCGAAACAGATTCTCATCCATTCTTTTGGTGAAACTTATTCGGCACCTCTATCGGAAATTCTACCAATTAAATCAATTGAGTTTTCTTGGACTTTCTCATGTCTATTTTTCAATATAGGGGTCAATCTGGGTAATAAATCTTTAATAGGGGGTGTCATTCGGGTCATTCCAATTACATTAACAATTGCTTTTAGACCTCCTAGTATAGAACCAAGTACTTCAGGATATTCTTCACCTAAAGATTCATAAAGAAGTAAACCTAGTTTACCTAATCTATTTTCTTCATTACAGTTTTTCATACATAGTGCTACTCTACTTATCAAATCGGCCGCTTATTGTCTTACTCTAGCTGATTTATTACCCAATCTCCATTAAATAATACCACAAATTTAGGCGAAATAAGGCTTAGCCCTTTATCCTAAGGCATTAACGACAGTACCAAATCCATTCAACATAGTAGTTGTATCCTCACTACTTTGTTCATGGAAAGCGGAAATGCAACCATCCATAAGTTATTCTTCTAGTCTACTATCAACATCAGAAACTCCCAAAGCTGCAACTATTTTTTCAATAGTTTCCATCACCATTTTTCTATAAGGCTCACTTACACTCTTTAAATCAGGTACTATTCTTTCCAGAATTTCAGCTCCTCCTACTTTTGTGGCAATTTCAATCGTAGTATCGATTAATTATCGGCTATTTTTATCATTAGCCATCCTTTAAACCCAAAAACTCTTAAAAAAGTCATTTATTACATGCTCTCGAATATATTATGCATCTACTCCTTGACAACTAATGCATTATTTTACGACTTTTAAAACTATTTTTCTCATCTCGTCTTCTGGATTTTCGAATTCCCTTATTAATATTTCCATTACTTCCTTTGTATATTCCAAAGCCCTATCAGCATCCATCAAAGGGATAATAAACCCAATAGCCTTTAAAAAAGCAGCAAGTGATTTCCCTTTATATTAAGTTATTCCTTCCCATAAAGGAATTAGTACAGAAGCAAAAGCATCAATTCCATAAGGAGCGGAAGCCTCGGCTAAAGCCGCTAAAGCAAGCGAAGTAATAGTTCTGACTTTATTTTATTCGTCTTTTAATCCATGTTCTATAATTTCGACTAATTGACGTAAATAAGGGAGTACTGCACATCCCATTAATATAGCTATTTATTAGACTATTTTTATCCCAGTATGTCTCGTAAACCAGCTTTTTTTACTTCTACAAACCGGTTTTAAAAAAGGAAGCATAGAAGCTATTCCTAAACTACTTGCCACAACCGCAAAAGCTCTAGCTGTGGTATTTCTTACAAACTCATCATTATGATCAATATCTGGTTTTAATGTTTTAATCATGGTTGGCAGTCCGGCAGCTTTCGCTAGATTAGAAATTATTTCTCTTCCTTCTACCCTGGCGTAATAATCTTCGTCAATCAGTAGGGGTTCGATGACGACGAGAATATTATGTACATGAGGTCTTACTAGGTCGTCTAGTTTGTAAAGAATCCTGTCTATGACTTTTACTAGAAGATGTCTTTCTTACACTTCTAGGGTTGGGGACATTAATAAAAATAAAATTTCATTAAAAAGAAGTTCAGCGCCAAATTCTCGAGCATTTTGGGTGATTTAGCGAAGTGCTTGTTTTCTCATTTGGGGAGTTCCTCGTTTTATTTTAAGAAGGAGTTCTTTTATTTTTCGTTTTTTTATTTCCTCGGGACGAAGTTCTGATTCATCTACATTATTCATTAATTCTCCAAAAAAAGGCATATCTTCAGGCTTAATTGCTGGCAACCCATTTATAGCGGGTGTTTAAGGTACATCAAAAGGCTTTGAATATTCATCAGGTATTTAATAAGCTGCAGGAGTATTCATGGAAGGAGTTTACATTTACATATAATGTTTTATTGTATTTCTCGCTGGTTTATAGCTTTCTGGAGGTTTTACAACTTCATACCCATCATTTATTCCAGGAAGCATTTGATCTAAATCTTCATCAGTTAACGGTCTGTTTCTTTTATCCATTTCTTACTCATAACGTAATTATTATATAGCTTCAGGGGTTAAATTTTAAAAATTCTAAGGAGTTATCATGCCTCCAGGGGTGGGTGTAATTCCCATATATCCGATTGGTGTTTATCCTATTCTGGGTGTCTAATCATCCCATCTAGATCTGGTTGTACTTCTTTTAGGAGTTGGGGTTTCTCCAAATCTATTTGGTGTACCTTATATTAAATGACCAGGGGTAGGTGTTTCTCCGAACATCCCACCTACTCCTTTAGGCGTTTAACCTACCTGTTATTAAGGGGTCATATCCCATCTACTTCTTTTGCCAGGCGTTTACATTTCGGCAAAACCAGGGCCTATTTTTTTTTAAAAAAAAATTGTTTATATAATTTTTTATTGATAAAAAAACGAATACCTCCTCTTTTTGGCGTATCCCATTTATTCAAGCCCCGTGATGCCGACATATTTCCTGTGAAATGTTCGTTTTCAGAAAAATCAGAGTTCCCCGGTTTGGTTGATTAGGAAGACGATTTAATGACAGTTGTTACTTGCTGTTATTATTGTTTTATTGTATTATTATTAGTTGTTGTTTGTTACTTTTATTATTAGTTTTTACTTTATTGTTAAAGAAGGTTAATACGTTCATTTTCTAAACGTTGTTCTCTCATTTATTCGGAAAATTTGATTGAATTTTCGTCGTTTTGGGCGTCTTTTTCGTCAAATGGATCATATGATTTCATACCTAATTTAATATTGTGCATTTGTTGCTAATATGAGTTTTATTAATCTTATACTCGCATTTGACCTTTTGTTAATTAGTCAGAGTCTTTTAAACCTGAAATTTTGGCTTCATTTATTAATTCTTCCGATCCAGTATAATTAAAACGCTTTTTTTATAATTTTGGTTCAAATTATTAATCTTAATCATTATTTGAATCTATTTTAATTTTTTATTAAAAAAAAAATTAATGATTATTATGTTTTATTTTGTTTCTTTTATTTTTATTTTATTTTATAATGGATATATAATTATATATATATTTATTATTTACTCATATTGCTCATTTTTTTTCTTTTTCTTCTATTTTATTTTATATTGGATTTCTTCTTTTTTTTTTTTTTTTTGATATTTTTCTTTATTTCCTTATTTTAAATAAAGGAAATATTTTTGTTTTATTAAGAAACAATTTTTTTTTTATAAAATATGTATCTAGTTAAATAATTTTTATAAATAAAGTAACAATTAAAATATTATTGCTAATTTTTTAATTTGTTTTTACATAATATCTGTTTAATATTTATTTTTATTGAAATAATGATTAAAATACAATATATAGATTAATACTAAAGTATTTCATATATTTAAAATTTACTAAAATACCATAATATTTTATATATTTAAATAATAATAAGAAAACCTTAAATTTGCTATTAAAAAAAATATCATAATAATAAATATCATAATATAAAATCAAAATTTTATGAATAAATGATTATATTTATAAATAAAAATTGTTATAAAAAATTTAATAAATTATTTTAACATATATATTATAAATATTAAATATATATAAATTATGTTTTTATATATTTAGTAATTATTTTAATATAAATTATTATTATTATTAAAAATAATATATAATATTTTAATAATTAAATTATAAAAATTAATTTTTTTGTTATTTTGATGAAATACACGTATATAATATTTTTCAAAAAAAAAAAATAAAAAAAAAATATTATATTTATTTTTTAATTTATTTTATACTGAAAGCTTCATTTATTTAAAATAAGATATTAAAAATACATATATATAAATTCAATAATATAAATAAAAACTTAATAAAAGAAAAAGAAAAAAGAAAAAATAGTTACAATGTAAATATTATAATAAGTAAAAGATAAATTTTAAAATCTTTAAGCAGATTTCAAAAAAGTTTAAATTGGTAAAAATACTATTTAATTTTTTTTTAAAAATAAACATTAATTATTATATTTTTTTAATAATTTGTTGTTTTTTATAGAATCAGATTCTTTTTCAAAAATAAATAAATCATAAGTACTTTAAGATAGTAGATGTTTTAACAATTCATAGTTAAATCCTCGTTAATGCAGACAAATATCATCAAAATTAATTTACTTGATTAATTAAGTAAATTATAATATTCATTATATATAAATATTTTTTATTTAAAAAATAAATAAATTATTTTTTATTAATATTCCCAAAAAAAAAAAAATATTAAAACAAAAAACTATAGGGATAAACTTTTACTGAGTAAGAAAGTTCTTCATTATTTTTTGCTATAACAAAATTATTTTAATCAAATGATAAAGATCTAAGAAGAATGATATATTTAATGATAAAAGTATACAATAAAAAATAAATAGAAAATAAATAATAATAAAAAAGGAATTTAGAGATGAAAATACAATGTATATTGTAACATAATCATTAATGAAAGATATTACATCTTCAAACGATTTATATAGAATGAATGCTTTAAGGACAATACCATTAGTATTAGATCCATCAAATTTAATACAAGTGGAAAGATACATAAAAATGGTAACAAAAAATACTATTTAAAATATATATATAAACAAAACAAATAAAAAGGCAATTTTAGACAAAAACTATGCAATTGTAAGTGCAGCCTTATTATCTAGTATTTAATTGTATCCTACAAATAGCGAAATAGTGAAAAAATTTACTAGTGAAGTTCTTTCTGTTTTAAATTCTAAAAATTCAAATAATCATTTCCATTCAATTGTTCTATTACATGAAATTAAAAAATTTGATAGAAATTCATTCATTAAAGTAAATATAAAATAAAAACTATTTTAAATAAAAAAATAGGTATTAGTTGATTGCACAAAAGATTCGCATAATAGTTTAGCTACTATGCAAATCATTAGATTTATAAAGGAATCTTTATTAACAGGTGAATTAGATGCAAGTTATGAAAGAATCTTTATAGATTATTTAAATAGATAAATACATAAATCTAATGAAATGACAGTCTTTGAAGCTTGTAAGGCTTTATGTGAACTCAGTAATCTTTCTAATAAAGATTTGACAGGAGTTATTTCTGTTTTAGGAATATTTTTAATGGGATCTAATTCTATTAATAAATTTGTTGCACTTAGAATATTAAATAAAGTTTTTATTTATAATAAAAAAATAAATATTTTTTATAAACAAATATATATTAGCTAGTATCGAATCCTATTAGAAAAAGTCTTATCTAAAATAAAAGTGATATAGAAGCTATATTAACTGATAATAATAAGTAATATTAAATATGTATATATTATAATTTATTTTATGAATTAATATAATTAATTAATTTATTATTTATTTATGTTTATTAATTAATTAAATTATTTTTTATCTATTTATTAATTTATTTTTTGTTATATGCATTTATTAATTAATTATTTTTTTATTTATTAAATACATTTATTCATTAATAATTTTTATATAGGAGCTTAAGTTCTTTAGCAGTATCTTTATTACTAAAAGTTTGCAGTGAAGATAATATTGATTCACTTTTGACTTAAATATATGATAATTTGGAAGACATGTCTGATGAATTTAAGGTAGATATACTAAGATCAATCAGAAATTTAGTAAAAAACATTCCGAAAAGAGCAAAAGCTGTTTTAAGTTTTCTTTTTAATTGTTTAAAAAATGATGGAAATTAAGAATTCAAAAAATACGCAATTGATATTATTGAATAAATGATATAAGAAATTCCTGAATCAAGAGATTAAGGATTACTTGTGTTAGCAGAATACATTGAAGATTGTTTATTTAATAACCTATAATTATAAGTATTAAGTATATTAAACAGAGAAGCTTCTAAGTAATCAGTTCCTTAGAAAATTATTAGATTTATCAACAATAGAATTCATTTAGAAGAACCGGAAGTTAGAGCTGCTGCTGTCGGAACTATCTTTAAATGTGGATTTTAATAACCTTAAATTAAATAGAATGTTATTTCTTTATTAAAATAGTATTTAAAATTTTATTTTTAATATTATTTTATTTTTAAAAATAAAATAAAATAAAAAGAACATTAGATGATCCTGATGAGGAAGTAAGAGAAAGAGCTAATTAAAATATTAATTTACTTGAATAAGCCGACAATTCATTTTTAGGAAGTTAGTATAAGAATTTACACAATATTAACTTTTAAGAAATTGCTTATATAGAAAAATACATTTAAATGAATATGGAAACTCTAAGTAACACTTAGGAAGCTGATGCTTTATAAAGAGAAAAAATACTTGAATTTGCTAAAGAAAATAATCTCTAAGTCGAAGAAACTGGAACTGATAAAAAGGCAAGCTAAAATTACTAAGAAAATGATTTTGAAGCTGAAAAACCAAAATAAATCCAAAAACAGACAAATATGGTTAACTTAAATGACGATTCTCATATTAAATAATATACCAAATTATTTTCCGAAAGTCCTGTTTTTTCATAATATGGATAACTTAGAAGTGCTGTAAATGGAGGAGTAAAAATATATCATAAATATATATTTATAAAAAATAATAGAATCTAACCGATAAAGATTCAGAATATTAAGTATTTTATTATAAGTATTTCTTTGATGATTACCTAGTTATTGAATACATAATAAAAAATACTGTATAATAAACAACATTAAAGAACGTGAAAGTTGATTTACAATTAAACAGTGAGTTTTTAAAAGTCGCACATATAGTACCCGCTAATGAAATTAAAGAAAATGAAACAAGTAATGTTTTAGTAGGAATCGCACGTCATCCTTAATAAAAAATAGTGGCTGTTACAGCTTAAAATTTTTTGCATTTTAATATATGCGAAATGAATGGGAATTAGGTTGTGGCTTAGTATTCGGATGAATGTTAGATTGATGATTTGAATATTACTGTTGCAGATCATTTAAATAGGTGGGATGTCAAAAAAGGTAAGTTTGAAACTGAGTGGGAATATTTATAAGGGGATGAGTCTTAATAAAACTTTTAACTTACCTATAAAAATACAGATTTTGCTATTAAAGAAATTGTTAAGCATTTTAGTAATGTTTTTTTTTGTTTTTTTTTTTGGATTTATGTTTTTTTTTTTTTAGATGTTAGTGTTTGTGATGGAACCGATGTTATTTTGTAAAATAATAAAGAAAAATATCATACTTTGAAAATTACAGGATTATATTTAAATAATGTTAAAGTAATTTTTTTTGTTTTTTAAAAAAAATAAAATATTAAATAAAATTTAATATATTTTAGTTTTTGGCAGTTTTTATGATTGCATTTGATTTAAAAATCGGATGTGTTTTAAAAATGAAAGTTAAATGTGAAAATGAAGATGTTGCAGAAAGTTTAATTTAAGCATTTAACTGATAATGAAAAATTATATATATATATTTTTTTTATTATTTTTAATTGAATAAAAGTTGTTATAAAATTAGTTTTTTTTTTTTAAATATAAAAATATTTTAGTTAATATTATATAAAATTTTATTTTTTATATAATTAGTAATATTATTATATATATATATTTTTTATATAAAAATTAAATTTGTTTAATAAATAATACAATTATTTATATAAAATTAAAATTATCATATGAAATTAAAAAGTCTTATTTTAATTTAATTAAAACATAAAAAAATATATAAATTTAAAATATTATAATATTAAATTTAATATTTTATATTATCAATAATTAAACAATTATTCTATTGCATTAGCTTAAATAAATAACATTTATAAATAATCCTCATTATCATCTATATTTTAGAGTAATGTAGTGGATTATTATTAGTTTAAAGTTCCATTTTTAAAACTTAGAAATGCGCTATTTAAAAATAAACTTTCATCCTATTCTTATTTTATTGTAAACAAACAATTAAAATAAAATAAAATTAAAAAAGTAAAAAATACCTTATTATTTGAGTTTAGTAAAAGGCTTTTTTTAGGACTTTTAAAACATATTTTCATTATTTTATTAAATTTCTTAAAATTTTTTTTGAGCAATATAAATATTTTCTTATTATAATTTTTTGACTTCATTTTGTAATTAATGATTTTCTTATTGACATTAATTTAATTTTTCATATAAATTTTAAATTTAAATTTATAAGCAATTATTAACAAATTCTTCATTTTTGTTTTATTAATTTGTAAATTATTCTATTTAAAAATAAAATAGAGAATATATATATATTTATATATATATATATATTTATATTATATATATAAATATATTACATCTAACCTAAAATTTAAAACTATTCAAATTATTTAATTATTCGCAAATTTACTATTATTCATCTAAACTTTCCTATATTTTTTCTTATATCGCTCCTTTTTTCATATCAAGTTCTTATTTTAACATCATTAATGGAGTAGGTAATTAAATTTGAGAATGTCTTCCCAAAACTTCATGGACTTACAAAATAATTTAACCCATAACTGTCATATCATCAAAATTTTATGTTCTTTTTTCAAGCTTTTATTTAAAGAATAAATTATTATAATATAAATAAGTATACTTGATTTTTATATTATTAGTAAATATTTTTAATCTAATATTAAAGTTCAATATATTTATCTTATATAATTTCCAAAAAAGTAATAAATTAAGCTCCAAATAATTAAAATATAATTTATTTACTTTCTTTTTATATCTCTAGGCTTTAGTTTTCTTCAAAAATGAGGCTTTCAATTTAAGGTATTAAGTTATTTTGTTCTTAAATGAGATTCTCAAAAGCATTTTTAGACGCATTTTGTTGAATTTCTTATTAGTTTTTTTAATTCTATTATATTTTTCCAGAAAGCTATTCTAATTCTTTATTTTTTAAGTAAATTTAGTTTTCTAAAGCAGCAATTTTTCTTTCTAATTCTTACTCATTATCTTATTATGATTTTTTTAAATATTCCATATTAGCCTTTTCGTTTTCTAATAATTATAAACATACACATAGTTCTTTTCTTATTTAATTATTTTCTTTTTCTAAACATTGGGTTTATTCTTCGAATTTGATTTGTTGTTAAATTAAAGATTTTTACTCTTGTGAATTTTTTTGCTGAATTTCTGTATTTTTAGTAAATAATTCTGAATATTTATTTTAAATATCGTTATATTTCTAGAATATTTCAGTATATTTATCTTAAGTTTATTCGTTTTGTTAAGCTAATTTTTATAATTTTTATTAAAATAGTGTATTTTAGTTAGTTGCTAGTTCATATTTTTTTTAAATATTATCATTATTTTATAAAAGTTATAGATTAGATTCTTTTAATTCAAAAATTTATTTCTATAATAATTCATTTTAATTTTTAAAAAGAGAACAGTTTTTGCATTAAGAATTGTTTTCGTGTAAAATTTAATTTCTTAAAATTTAGTTTTGTTATTCCAAATCTGTTATTTAAATAGAATTTTGTTAATTTTATAAACTTAAAGTATTTTTTAAATTTTAAATTTATAATTAGAGTTATATAATTTAATTATTTTTTTCATCAAATTATAATTAATATTATTGTGTTTCTTTTATTCTTTCAATATTGTCTTTATTCGTTAATAAATACGAACTAGATTTTTATTTATATTTAAATTCTTCATTTTATTCATCTTCGTCAAAATTTAATTACTTATTAATTAATATTATTGATTCTGCACATTTTCTATTATTAATTTGATTAGAATAATTTTACATATTTTTTAAATCAGCAAATAAATTATTATTATTATTATTATTATTATTATTATTATTATTATTATTATTATTATAATTTTAATTTTCATTAAAAACATTTATTTTTTCAAAATTTTCTTATAGTTTTTAATATTCTTTTTATAAATTTTAAATTTTACAGAATTAAGATTTATTACTATTTAAAATATCATCATTATTTGCTATTTTTTCTTATAAAAAAGATTTTTATTCTTTAACGAATTCATCATATACAATTTTACTTTCATAAAGAATCCATTATAAATCAGAAAATCTTTAATTATAATTATTTAGTTTTTGAGACAAATTGTTAATTATTAAATTTTATCCTAGTAATTTTTCCTCTAATTCATTTATTTTTTAAATATTATTACTTTTGCATACAGTACCTTAGTTAGAACAACATTTGTATATTATTAGTAATTTTTCCAATTCGTCATAAAGAACTTGAATTAAATATTTTAGGACTATTTTATCTTCTTCATCAAAATAATTATAATATATTTCTGGATTTTATGATATTTTATTAGATATATATTATAAGTGCTTTGTCAAAGTTGCCCTACTTTAAGGTTTAAATAACTCGATTCTATTTTTAATATCTTTTAATAGTATGATTAATTTATCTGAACTAATTTAATTATCATTATTATTTGAAAAAATGGCACTTTTATCTTTTCTTTTTATTTAAAAAATTTCGTTTGGATTTGCTAATATTTATGAATAAGAATTATTATTATTTTCAAAATATTTTTGATTTGTAAATATTTATTTGTAATTATTTTCAAACATTATTTAATTATTTTCATATAATTTTTGACTTTATATGTTGCTTTATTAATTTTATAAATATAATGTTTTTTAAGGAGAATCTTATGTATTCTAAGTTTTTGGTTTTTATTTTATTTCTTTATCTATTTAAGTCATTATATTATTAATATCTCTAAATGTTTTTTCAAATTTTTAATACTTTTCAATACTTTGTAAACGTTTTTAAACCTATTTTTTTTTAAATAAATTATCTATATTTTTTTTTAAATATAAAAAATATACTTCATCAACTCTATCTTTTAATTTATATACACTTTCTTTCTGTTTTTTTTTTTTTTTTTTTTTAATATATATGTATTTATATTATTATTTTATATATTCTTTTTACGTTTTTTATAGTATCTCTTTGAATAAAAGAAGAACTTTTTAATTTAGAATAATTAGGAATTTAAGAATTTTATTATTAAATCATTGAATATTGAAGAATTTATTAGTTATTATTTTTTATTGAAAAACTTTGATTACTATTTGAATTATATTTTCCGGTTGTTTCTGGTGTAAAACTATTTTGTATTCGCATTATTGTATAAATTTTTTGATATTTCTTTTTATTATTTTTATATTTTGTAAATATTTGATTTGGTTAATATAGAAGCTATTTGTTTATCTTATATCTTATACTATAAATATATATATATATATATTTTTTTTAAATAAGCAAATATATAAAATTTTTGTTTAAATTTTAAAATTTTATATTTTTATATTTAATAATTTTACAAATGATATAATTTATATTTATTTAGTAAAAAAGAAAAAAAAACAATTATAAAATATATTTAATTATATAATTTATAAAATTATTTATTAAGAAAAATATATATATATATATATATATTATATAACATGATATTTTGTACATTCAATAATTTAAGTAAAAATATGCGAAAATTATTTATATATAAATTTTAATAATTAATAAAATATAAAGATATTCAAAAAATAAAAAAAATAAAAATAAAAAAAAATAAAAAAAAATGACTTCAACATTTAAAAGATTAATCCCTTCTTTAAATAGAATTCTTGTTAAAAGATTCGAAGCAGAAACAAAGACCAAAACTGGAATTATTCTTTAAGACCCTGCAGATAAAACAGCTTATGGATAAGTAGTATAAGTAGGTCCAGGTAATATTTAAATAAAATAAAAAAAAATATATAATTAAATAAAAAAAAGGAACTTATAATAATAATGGATAACTTTAACCTGTTGCAGTAAAAGTTGGAGATTTCGTTGTTTTACCTGAATATGGTGGATCTAAAATAGCATTAAAGGAAGGCGAGTTTTTCGTTTATAGAGATACTGATGTTGTTGGTATTCTCTAAAAAGATTGATCTTTGTTTATTTTATATAGTATTTTTTTGATTATATAATTTTATTTGGATTAAAATTAAATTTCTATTGAACAATATTTTTTTATTTTTTTTATATTTATTTACTTTTTTTTTTTTTTTTTTCTTTTTTTTCTAACATTCATGTTTTTATTTATATTTTTAGTTTGGTATTTTCTCGATATTTCTATTAATTATAATTGATATATTTAATTTTCTAATTATTTTTCTTTCTTGAAATTTCTAAATTAACTTTTTTATTAATTTTTTATTTCTTTTTATTATAATTTATGTAAAGTATAATATTGTTTATAATTAATAATAAAATATTATAAACATTAATTATTTCAAATAAATTAAATAAAAATTATAAAAAGTATTAAATATATATATAATTAAATAAAAATAAAATAACAAATAAATATATCTTTAGTTACATGTGATAAGTTTGAAACAGCCGAAAATAAAACAAAAAATGCCTATTAATATAAATGTAAATTAAAATAATATATATAATAAAACATACATGGTCATAATTAATTAAAAATAAAATTTGAATGAAGAAATCCTTATTTATTAGTTCTTCTTAAAATTAAAAAAATAAGGTAATTAATAAAATAATGATAATTAATAATAATAGTTAATAATAATATTATAATAATATTTTTACTATTAACATATATATTTAAAATATAAAGAATTTAATTAATGAAATCGACAAAGATCTTTATAAAAATTATATTATTATTAAAAAAAATAGATTTTTATTAATAATAATAAAAATAATATTTAATATTAGAAAGTATAAATTAATAAGATATGTTTTAATTTTTTTTTTTATCTGTTTTTTATTTTTTTATTTTAAAATGTTTAATTATTTGGTTAATTTATATAATTTATGTATATACTATTTATTTATTAGAAATTTTATTATTAAATTCCATGTTTTATTAACTAAATTAAATTTTCTACATATTTAATAAAAAAAAAAAAAAAAAATTAAATATAAAATTAATAATTAAAGTAAAATAAGTATTATATTATGATAATTTTTTTTTTTTTTTATAATTAAACAAAAAATATGAATTAAAATCTAAAATTATAAAATTAAACATAAAAACAAAATAAAAAATATTAAATAAAAACAATAATAAAATGTTAGAAATTAAAGAAAATAATTAAATTAACTCCAAAAAATAATCAGCAGTTCCTATAAAGCAAGAAAAACATTAAAAACATGATGAACATTTATCAACATTAAAAACAATTTCTGAAATAGTATCTGCATTAATCTAAGCATATGAAAAAAACGAAAAAATCAATTTAACAAAAGTACGAAAAAAAAAAAAAAAAATTAAAAAAAAAAAAAAGGTAAAAGGCGATTTATCAAGAAAAAATAAATTAAATGGTACACCGAAAATAGTAGACATAATATAAGCAATTCCTGAAAAATATAAAAATGTATTAATTCCAATGTTAAAAGTAAAACCAGTAAGAACAGCATCTGGAGTTGCAATAGTAGCAGTTATGTCAAAACCTCATAGATGTCCTCATATTGCAACAACAGGAAACATATGCATTTATTGTCCAGGAGTTAATACTTAAATTTTACTTTATTTATATAAATTAATTTTAAAATAAAAGGGTCCTGATTCTGATTTTGAATATTCAACCTAAAGTTATACTGGATATGAACCTACTTCTATGAGAGCTATTAGAGCAAGGTATTTTTTGTTTTGTTTCTAATTAAGTTATTTTGATAAATTAAAAAGATATAATCCTTATATTTAATCAAAAGAAAGAATAGAATAGTTAAGAAAATTAGGACATGATGTTGATAAAGTAGAGTTTATTATTATGGGAGGTACTTTTATGTCTTTAGATGCAGCTTATAGAGATTATTTCATTCGTAATTTACATGATTCATTAAGTGGACATAGATCCCATAATGTAGCAGAAGCAGTAAAATTTTCAGATGAAAGTAGAACAAAATGTATAGGAATTACTATTGAAACACGTCCTGATTTTTGCTACTAACCTCATCTTTCGGACATGCTTTTATATGGATGTACTCGTATTGAAGTAGGAGTACAATCTATATATGAAGATGTTGCAAGAGATACTAATAGAGGACATACTATTGAAGCTGTAAAAAAATGTTTTAGGCTTTCAAAAGATGCTGGCTTCAAGGTAGTTTCTCATTTAATGCCTGACTTACCTAATATGGGTATTTTATAAAAATAAATATTTAAAATAAAAAAATAAATAGGAGTTGAAAGAGATATAGAATCTTTTAAAGAATTTTTTGAAAATCCTGATTTTAGAGCTGATGGTTTAAAAATATATCCTACTTTAGTTATTAGAGGCACAGGTTTATATGAATTATGGAAAAATGGAAAATATAGAAATTATCATCCAAGTATTTTTTTTAACAAAAATAATAATAATAAATGCATAAATGTATATATAATATGAAAAAATTATAGATGCTTTAGTAGAAATTATAGCTAAATTATTAGCTTTAGTTCCTCCATGGACTAGAATATATAGAATATAAAGAGATATTCCTATGCCTTTGGTAACAAGTGGAGTTGATAATGGTAATTTAAGAGAACTTGCTTTAATAAAAATGAAAGATATGAATATTCCTTGTAGAGATATTAGAACAAGAGAAGTTGGCATTAAAGAAATTCATCATAAAGTAAAACCTGATTAAGTCGAATTTATTAGAAGAGATTATTTTGCTAATGATGGCTGGGAAACTTTCCTTGCTTATGAAGATCCTATTTAAGATATTCTCATTGGTATGCTAAGATTGAGAAAATGTGGTGTTTCAACTTTTAGACCTGAATTATTAGGAAAGTAATATATTTTATTTATTTATTTAATTTTTTATTTCTTTTTAGTGTTTCTATTGTTAGGGAATTACACGTTTATGGTTCAGTTGTACCTATTCATTCTAGAAATCCTATAAAATTCTAACATTAAGTATTTATATATAAAAAATTGCATATTTTATTATTTTTATCAAAAAAGGGATTTGGTACAATGCTTATGGAAGAAGCAGAAAGGATAGCTAAAAAAGAACATGGATCTACTAAATTAGCAGTTATTGCAGGTGTAGGAACTAGACATTATTATAGAAAATTAGGATATGAATTAGAAGGACCATATATGATAAAACATTTAATATGATTTAATATAAATATATATATATATATTTATATATATATATAATTTTTATATTTATAATTATGTAATTTCATTTATTTCAATTATATAAAATTTATAATATTACTTTTTTTAATACATTTTTTTTTTATTTTATTTTATTTTTTTTATATTAAAATAATATATTATATTTAAAATTTAAAAATTATATTTATATAAGCATTAGCTTATTTGTAAAAATAGAATTTCTAATTTATATTTAATATTAATAAGATTCTTATAAACATATAATTTTTATATTAAAATTGCATTCTTTTAATGATTCAATCTAATATACTATTTAAGTTATTTAAATAATATTTTTTTTTTATTTTAAAAATTATCTTGCTAATTATAATACTTATATATATATAATAGATTATTATATAATTTTCGTAAATTTTATTTATTTTCAAATATCTTTTACAAAATATATAGAAGGATCTTTAACTAATTATTATTTAATAAAATATTTTAAATTTTCTATTTCTTAGTTTAAATTTTTTAGTTAATCAAGAAAGTCATTTTCATTTTAGTAATCTTCAGTAACTTTATTTAAAAATTCTTTAAATTCAAAATTTTACTAATCTGTTTAATCTGTAAAAATAATTTCTTTTAAACCATTATTAACAATATCCGCATACTTTTATTTCCATTTCTAAAATAATATTTTATATATTATAAAAATTATATTTTATATTATTTTTTATTATACTAAAAATCTATCTTTTAAATTTTATACTGAAGGATTTTTATCAAAATCACCTTTCATTTCATTTACATTTGCTTATAAATCTTAAATAACTTTTTTAAAAAATCTAATAACATTATCTTTATCGGAATTATATGTATTATTCATATTGATAATTTGTTAAATATAAATTTAAATTATATTTATAAATGAATAAAAAAAAGTAGTATAAGTTATTTTATATTAATTAAATAATAAATATTTTAAAATTATAAAAAAAAAAAAATATAAATATAAAAAAAATATATTAATAAATATATTATACATTATATATATATATATATATATAATTTTAAATTATATTTATTTATTTAATAATATATATTATTTTTATTATTTAATTTTTTTATTTAATATATTTATATATAGATAATTATTTTAAATTTATTAATTAAATTAATTTTATATTTAATAATTATAAATATTATAAATCTTTAATTATTTTCTTATATTTTTTATTTATTAAATTAATTTATTTTAAATATATTATTATTAATTAAAGATATTTTACTTTTATTTATTTACTAATAAAAAACATATATTAATTTAATATAAAATATTAAATATCTTGTTCTAAATATAATTTTTTTATATTTTATTATAATATAAGTATTTTCAATATAAAATTATTTTTAATATTTTATGTTATATTATTGTTTATATGCAAATATATTATAAATTAAAATAATTAAATTTTATAATATTTAAATAAAAATATATATATAATTTTTCAAATAAATATAATTATTATAAAAAGATATTTTAATTATATTATTTTTTTTAAATATTTATTTTTTTCTAATTAATAAAAAATATATAATAAATATTATTTATATTTTTATTATATCATATGCATTTTAAATATTTTACGATTATCAATAACTAAATATTATCTTTTAAATCCATTTAAAGAGATCAAATTTTTAATATATTAATTCATTAGTTCTTTTTCTTATTTAAACATGCTAATTTTTTTTCCATATTATTTCTACTAATTTTCTAGATAACACATAGTGATCATTTTAGCAAAGAAAGTCTTTTTGAACAATATTAATAGCGGAAATATTTATGTGATTATATGAATTTTAATGTTATAATTTTATTCCTTTTTATTCGAATCTTTAAATAATTAATGCAAATAAACATCATTTAACACCAAAGCGTTTAATCATAACTAAAATTTTTTTTGGTATTTCTTTACATTTTTGTATTTAATAAAATCATATAATTATTAATATTTAATGAAAAAAGTTTTTTATTAGAACATAATTTTTTTTTTGGGATTTATAATTATTTTTAAATAAAATTTATTATAAATTGTAATTAGTTTAATAATACATATTTTATAAAAATTTTAACCTTAAATATTTAATAATTTACTGAATGTAATGAGAAAATGATTTACATACTGATTTATATTTACTTTAGTTAAATCAAATAAATTTAATTTTCTTTTATTATAAATTCTTAATATAAATATAATTATTTCTTAAATTAAAATAATATTTATTATAAAATTAATAAAATATTTAATTATTTATTTAATAAAATAGGATTTTATAAAAGTTTTTATTAAAATGCATAGTATAAATTATATTTATATGTTAAATACAATATATTTTTTATTTTTAAAATATATATTTTTTTTATTTGCATTTTTAAAAATAATTTATATATATAATATATTTTTTAAATTGTTTTTATTTATATAATTTATAAATTATACAATTATTTTGATTTTATTAAATATATAAATGAATATATTTTTATTAATATATATTTTTCAAATCATATATAAATAAAAGATTAATTAAAATCTTCATTATTATAAACAAAAATAAAAATATATTTATAAAAATAAATACATATAAAGAAAAAATATATTTTTTATATATTAAAATTAAAAACAAAAATGACAGCTGATATAGTTAAATAAGAAGTTTAAAATCTTCCAAAAGATTATGGCAAAATGCCTGCTGGATATAATTTTTTAACAAGGGGTATATAAAATATAATTAAACAAATAAAAAATATAAAAAGAAAAATATCTTGACAAAAATAATTTATAAAAACATTAAGCATTTAAATAAAAATCTATAAAAAAATTATATTTTAAATAAATAATTTAAATTAAAAATAGGCAAAAATTGGAAGGAATATCATAATGATTTTATATTAAGAACTGATGCAGTTTGGGAAAAATAATAATTATATGATTATTTCAGAAATTTCATGAAGGTAAAAAAAGTAAATTACAATATATAAAATAAAAAAAATTAAAAAAAAGCCATTCTACTTTGATCACGGAATGAAAAAATATTAAATGATTGAACCTGAAGATTTATACACAATGATATTCGAAGCTTGTATAAAAAAAATCATATATATATATATATATAAATAATTATACATATATTTATTAATTAATAATATATATATATATATATAT